TCGGGAATCCTCATGAAGATAATGGATACCACGAGCTACACCTTCGATAATTTTGTGACGTGTCATCCAATTCAGTTGCGCTTGGTGATTTGGATCTACAACTCCATGTTTATGTGATCTTAGAATTCAATAAAGCAAAAATTTAGCAGTGAACCGAATGACTATAGTGGTTAAAAAAAATTTACATTGTCATACTGCCTCTTGTTTCATGATGAATATATTGCATGTATATATCTTTACATCTCAAACCCAAAGAATTAATAAAATCAGCACAATCCTTTATAGATCATTCAATCAAACTTAATTAAAGTGATAGAACACAAATGAATAAAGCTATAGCAATGATTAAAGAAAGTACCTATGTCTCTTACCAAATAATAAGTAGTCAAGACTTTTATTGGGAAGAAACTCATACATGAGTAGTCTCTCTCCTCTTTCCAAACAAAAGCCAATGAGTCTCACCAAATTGCGATGTTTAAGCTTGGCCAACAACATCACTTCATTTTTAAATTCTCTATCTCCTTGCCTAGAATTCCTGGACAGCCTTTTGATTGCCACTTCTTCTCCGTTATAGAGCTTACCCTGCAATTGTCGTAATTGGAAGCTATATATCTAGTATGCATGACTTTCTACAAAGTCGTGAATTTGGTCTATCTCATTTTGATATTGTTGTTTTTCTACCTTATAAACAGGTCCAAATCCACCTTGCCCAAGTTTATTTGCGTCAGAGAAATTATCGGTTGCAGTTTTGATGCTTTCAAAGTCTAATAGCAATGGTTCAGAAAGTATAATTTCACGATGAAGTTCAGCATCAGCTGGGAAGGAATTCAAGCAAATTAATTAGTTGTCACAATAATTTTCTTTTAAAGAAGAATATTACAAGAGCAAACTGAAGAGATCATTAGTTTGACTTACCTTGATATGTTTCTTTAGGTTTCTTCAATCTAAAATAAATGAAGATAGAAATGAACAGTAAGATCATTGCAACAATTGGCCCCAATACAGCAATGGTAGTTCTTGATATTTTATTATTCCCTGAAAAAGCTAAATATATGTTAGTGATGGTTTCATTGGTCAATTGTTCAGATATGACATTGTATATCATACTATAAAATAGTTTCGATATTATTATACTGGTTACAAGCACATTTTCCATGAATTAAGACTAACATAATATTAATTGATTATTGGAAGATGATTATATGAATGTGAAGATACAATTCAAGATCACAAGGTGGGAGACCATCCGGTTATGAAAATGCTACTAGAAAAAACTTTCGGCAACGATTTTCAACAACAACTTTGAAAAGTTAGTTGAGATAAATCACATACTAATCGACTTTTATCTCAACTTTTGCATAAGCATAAAAATCAATTTTGTCAATGATAATCCAAACAAGCTCAGGTAATGTTCAGATTTTAGCTTTGAGGACTGAACAGATCGTTGACATACACCGTCATGACTTGCTAACATTTTAGCTTTAATCTATTGACTGCATTTTGCAGTCTTAAAAAGGGGAAAGACAAAAGACAATTCTGAATACACAAGCAAACTGATAATTAATGAGACCACCAAATTGATGGACACATACCTTTTGATGAGCTGGGGGCTTTTGAAGGAGAAAGAGGAGACAGTGGTGGGGAATCCTCAGACACAAGATCAAAGAAACGGTAATTCTCATACCTAATATTGCAGCTCGGCATAATAACCCGACCACCTGTGTTTGTATAACAACATGGCAGGATTTGGTCGATCGCCTGCGCCAAGCAGTCTGAACAACGTCCCTCAGTTAAATCAGGAGTGCACTGAACTACACCAAACACAGTCTGCGAATTTGGACCCGATTTATTTGCTGCTTCATACTTACGAACAGATGAAACTCTGTTGGCAGTTAGTTTACCATTCATTCCATCCAATAACTCCTTAGCCGCTTCATAGTACTCGCCCGGTTCTGTAGCATTTTGTTGGTTCGGCAAACTGATCCAAACATCGTATTCCATGACACCCAATATTGGTCGGTTCGAGTATCGTAGGAAGCATTCATCGTAGCCTCCCATTGCCTCCTTCAGATCTGGGCAAGACTTGGGGATAAGAATGGAGGCGTTCTTGAGACAAGATCGGCATTTGTTTGGTTTAACATCTCCTCTGCATAACCCAATGGCGCTTACTGTGTCAGGGTTTTGGCCATAAGACAGATTGTAGAAACCGTAGTCATTTTGTGTGTTGGAAGTGAGATCTGAGAGGAGGATGTTAAGGTTGGTTCGGTAGGTACTTGGTTTTGTGTAGCTACCTCTTGAATCGAAGCAGCGTTTATATCTCAAGTCGGGAGGCTCAGCGGTGAGAGTGGTAAGATGAGAAAGGAACCAAAGCAGAATCAAAGGAATAATGGAAGACATTAGGAATCAGACGGAAAGGGGAAAAAGATGAGCCTAGAAGTAACATTAATGGAGGGAGACTGTATTGGCGTCTTTAGTTGACTTCTTCTCTTGTTTATTCAGCATTATGCAATAAGTTTATTGGAGATCGAGGCAAGGACTCGTCAATTCTCAACCTTCATTATTAGTGATGGTTGAATGCGACTCAAAGCGGTAGTTGTGGACAAACCACACTATAGATCTAAATTGAATTTTATCTTATTTATTTTTTACTTTTATTTTTTTGAAACGATTATTTTAATGTACTCCTTTCTAACCACAACATAAGTCCCTTACCAGAATTAGTTAGAGCAGCGATATAAATAATGAGTACTCCCTCCTTCTGGTTCAAAATATGAGTTAAACTTTGTTGGAGGGATTTTTTTTTTTTAATAAGATAACATTTACTTTTGTCTAAGCATTTAATGTATTTTTTTAATTTTATCTTCATATATTTTCTTTCCTGTGATATATTTGTTGCATCTTTTAATTTACTTATTTTTATTTGGCTTATATATTTTATTTTTCTAATTTCTTAATAAATGTAAATGAATAAATTTTATCTTATAATTTGAACCAGAGGGAGTAATTAATGCTTATTTGTTTATTTTATTTTTACAATTAATGCTAACATAATGTGACTCCTTATATTTCTCTCTCTCTCTTTGTAATTTCATTTAGTACAAATGAAATTGAAACAAATAATTTAAAACAAATTTAATAAATTAACTACAAAAATTCATTTAATCTTTTAATTGTCCTTTTTTAAAAAAATTATTTAAAAATTATTAGTTTAAAATTTTAAATATAAATGGTTGAAATTATATTTAATCAATACATATCTCACTATAATCATAAGCATTATAGTGGCCATTATTGTGATGAAACTTCTTAAACTATGCAACAATAGGTAACCTAAATAGAGAGAGAATATATTAGCTTCTCTTGTATATTCCGTACTATATAATAAGTTCATTGGAGACCAATTGAGGCAAGCAGTCGTCAATTCTAAACACTAATGAAGTTTGAATGCCATCAATTGAAAGAGAACATGAGTGTAAAGACAAGTGGGGGCCCTATTTCCTTCCCAATTTTTTCCCCTCCATTTGTCTCTCTCTTACCTTTTTTTGGAGGATTACAATCAGATTTTAAAAATAGAATTTAATTATCCTCAAGATCATTAACAACTAAATAATATAGGAAATAACAATATACTCATACTAGTCACTTATTATTGAAATTTTTTAGTAATTAAATTATTTGCTTAAAACCTTATGATAATTCTTCTTTCTTTTTTTTTCTCCTAACTTTTCTTGACGCCCAATTCAAGGTAGAGTTTCTCTTCAGCCTATTTGCCTTGAGCTATGGGACGACAACCTAAGTCAATATGTCTGTATTCCCAGGTCAAGTCAAGATAATAAATTTTTGCAATCATATTTTTTTAGAATATTTGTTACAAATTTTACCCCACGGGTAAATCTTGCCACGTCTGCCTTTGATTTTTTTTTTTAAATATAAAAAAAGGTTAAAGTCTGAACATAAAATTAAAACATGGAGGTCCGCCTTTGATTAATGGGAGAAGAGGGATCACGCGTGTTGACCGTGTGGTCTGTCCTGTTCCTTCGGAAATATGTGGTCCCAACTACCCCATAAATAGGCAAGCACGAAGGAAGAATACAAGTATGAAAAGAAAAAAATTTATTTCTTAATATATTAAATATATGGTTTTATTTTTTTCGAAAAAATTACAATAAAAATATTAAAAAATAAATCTCATAAGTTATCGTTTTTAATTTTAAAACGTGTTATTAAATTCTTATTAAGATTTTTTAGTAACTATTTTTTTAATCTTATTGCAATTCGTCTTGTTTTTCAAAGCGTAATTTACGCCCCTTCATCTCATGGCCTCATGCTGGTTGGGCCCACCCTTGGACGACTTGACTTTTGATAGCACACTAATTTAAATGGTTTGTTTTGATTTAAAATTAAAAAAGTATTTACTTTATTTTCTGAATTTATAGTTTTTAAATTATCCCTATTAATTATACATATTAAAGAAATGTTTTCATCAATTATCTCCAATTTAAATAATTGAAGGGATATCTTAAAAAAAAAAAAACCAAGGCACTTTTTTTTGCCAATAGTTAATTTAATTAATTTTTTAAATCTTACATGGTTTACATTTCTTTACCTCATAAAAATGCTCATCCCAGGAAAGAAGCCATATGCACAACTCCGTATAGATTTGACAACAAATTAAAAGCAAGATTTATGAGTAATGAGCGAACTAGTGCAAGAATTGTATATATTCCTAGTCACATATGAATATATATTCCTTGAGTTGTCGATTAGTGGATTATAAAGTTGAGAGTAATCCTTCCCATATCATTCACCAAATAGGATTCCTAAATAGCAAATCCTAAATTTTAACAACCATGAAATTTTCTCTCATTCGTTGTGCTTTGGTTTCATTGTTCCTGCCTCATGTTCTCATTCTCGTCAACGCCCATCAGCATCCGGACTTCATTAATCACACCTGTTTCAATGACAGAGGAACCTACACAAAAAAAGTGCTTACCACACCAACCTCAATATGCTTCTTTCTAACTTCAGCTCCGACACAGAAAACTACTTTGGCTTCTATAATTCCTACTATGGTGAAAGCCCCAATACGGTTAATGGTCTCGCACTGTGTAGAGGAGACACCCAGCTACATGCTTGCCAGAACTGCATCAAAAATGCCACGACACTTCTCCCAAAACTATGTCCAAATCAGAAGGAGGTATTTCTGTACTATGATCTGTGCATTCTTCGATACTCGAATGTTTCAATTCTTGGGATGTATCAGAATCCTGAGTTTTCCTACGCGATTCACAGCCCAGAAAAAGCAAAAGATGCAAAGAAGTATAGAGATGCTCTTGATGATCTCATGATGAGGCTAAAAAGCAAAGCTTCAAGTGGTGATTCTCTGAGTAAGGTGGCTGTGGGAAACGTAACAGCTGATGAGAATGAAAGTGTGTATGGTCTTGTTCAGTGCACGCCTGATTTGACTCAGCAAGATTGTGACGATTGCTTGGTGAAGGCCATCTCGGAAATCCAAGGATGTTGTAAGGACAAGATTGGTGGTCGGGTAATTAAACTGAGCTGCAATCTTCGGTTTGACAACGTCATGTTCTATGATCCTGCCGTTGTTGAGCCAATACAATCTCCGTCTGCTATTCTTGCTACAGCTCCCTCACCAGGTCCTATATATACAGTGTTTAATTTGAATCAACTTATTTTAAGTAATTTTACATTATATTTTGTATCCTAAAATTTATATGTATTGAATTCACCTAGCAAAATTTGACTTACCCATCTTAGTGATTAAAACAACTATCTTCTAAGGACAAAGAGCTCAAGTGTAATCTTCCCTTTGAAACTGCTTTTTAACAAGTAAACGTTTTATGTTGTGCCATAGCAGTTGCTGATCCACCAAAGGAAGTTGCTGATCCACCAAAAGGAGTTGCTGATTCACCCATATCTTCACCTTCAAAAGGTACCAATTCTCTCTAATCATGAACACAGGATAAACTCATTGTTGTGCTCAATATAAGACACCTTTCAGAAAAATTGTTTCGTCCTTAGTATAGACCAATTTCTAAAATTTAGTGAAACCTTTATGAGTTATTTCTAAGATGTTTGCACGTCTAATTGGTTCATTTGGGTGGGATGTATAACTTTAAAGTAGAAATTAAATCAATAGTTGAAATTAAGGCTAATTTGGGGATGTTAAAAGTACTTGTTTGAAGAAATCAAGATTCCTAACTAATCTTAATCACTTTCTCAAAAGGCACACGGCCTAATGCTTTCTGGGCCTTTCTCCCCATATGTCATCCAATGTAAATGTGGCGGGTTTGGTTTGATATGATTTTTTTTTTTTAGCCATCAAATTTTGTTGAAAAGTAGAAAAGGATAGAAATTTATGCGCAGGCCTTCGTGAACAATTTGACCCAGCAAAATAATATATGAATGTCTCGTGCGTTTTTTCATGCTAATCTCTATATCATTGTAAATGTTGTGCTTACAAATCTAAAACTAATACACTAAATTTTGTAAAACAAACAAAATTTAGCCATTGAAGCATTCAAATAATTTTAACTCTGCTTTTGATGGTTATCGAATATGCACTTCATTTACTAAATCTATCTCATATTGGATGAGTTGCATTGGAGGCGTCGTAGAACCGAAAAAATATTGTATCATACTATTAGATTTTATAACTCACATAAATAATTAAATTATTGAAAATTAGTAGAATTATAATTCATAATTTCAATAGAAAGTTTTATTTATTATCGGATTAAATTTATAAATAGGGTGCACAAGAAAATGTGTTTAAATTAATATATTGCACAATTAAATGGTGGAACTATATCTGCCTGGATATTAATTAAGTTCAAGTTTTGATTCATTTATCTCTTTGTTTCGCTTTTGCAGGAAATAGCAACAGAACATCGAGAATCGTCGTTACGATGGCTGTGGCAATTGTTGCCTTTACCACACTTAAGGAAACAACAGCTATTGGATTATGAATATATAATCTTAATTAATAAAAGACTTTATCACACTTAATTAATTAGTTATTATGAATTAATGTTTAATTTTATCTCGAAAGTTTTGACGTAAAAGCTGTGAGTATTCAGAATATTCTTGGGAGAATCACAATTAATTACCAAAAAAGAAAAATAATTACAAAACAAGTCTTATAAGTTGTCATTTTCTATTCAGAAACTTGTCATTGAATATTGTTTGGGTTGTTATTGAGACTTTTGAGTAATTATTTTTCTTTTTTGAGACCTCATTATAATTCTCCCAATATTATTTGGATTCAATGTTACTCAGCAAGTATTGAAATAGGAAAAATGTCGCCCTTTTCTAATGGTATTCGAGGAGATGTATATCATGTTGGACCTTATATCATACACGATTCAAAGTGGGCATAAATATTAGTCTCGGAAGTTCTTGGAAAAGAATAGCATTGCCCGCAACTTCTACGTGAAAATTTCCGAAACAAAATTCAATGTTAACCCAATTACATTTGACAATTGGCGGTAACATTTGTCTTTTTTCTTTTTTCTTTTTTTTTGTATCGCCTTTTTTAACCACAATATGGCCTTTTCCACAAGGTGAGGAATATTATTATACATAAATAATAAAAAGACCTAATCTTTTATTAATGATTTGTAGGAATAATATTTTATCCGGCTATGTGGGAAGTTCTTTACGAAGCATGAACAAACGCAACTACTATCTCTGATTGTTTGAGTTTTATGTTGGTCTTAAAGATAAGATATCAGTCTATTTTATCTCTCATGTTTTTTTTTTTTTTTCAAGATAGTCCTTCTAATAATGGTAATTCTAGCAAATAAACTTGATTAGTAAGGATATTTTAGGAAATACAACACCTATTTATTACATATAACTAATTTAACTTATTTTTGTAATCTACTCAAATTAGTCAACTAGCTCTTATATTTAGGACCGGAGGTAGTATTATACCAAACTTAAAATCTACTGAAACTTCAACGAAATTGAGTCTAGAGAAACTTTTTTAAAACGAACATATAAAAATGTGTTTATTCAATGACAAGACTCTCTTAATCCCAGTTAAACAAACATGGGTAATGAATACCCTAACCATGATTAATACTGTAGAACGCTGTTACGAGGGATTACATGTATCTGGTCCTTAACATTAAAACGTGTGGTCCCCACGCAGATGAATTCCTTGAAGTTTCTCATACGTTCACATGGATGGCTTCAACGACTTCATCAGCAGCCTCCCAATGTCTTCAACTACTTGACTTCTTCTGAGTTTAGACAGCTAGATCTGTCCCAAGTTAGCAATTTAGCTAGCTTTACCGAAAAGTCTAAGGAAATGGAGAGAGAATGCGATGGCTTCTCTTATAGATTCCGCACTATGCAATAAGTTTATTAGAGACCAAATGAGGCAAGTCATCGTCAATTCTAAGCACTGATGAAGTTTGAATGCCATCAAGTATAAGAGCAAACGAGTGCAAAGACAAGTGGGAGGCCTTATTTCCTTTCCAAATTTTTTTCTCCATTGGTATGTCATTCAAAATGAGATCTTAAAGAAAAAATTTAATTATCTTAAATTTTTTTAAAAATGTAATTTACACCCCTTCATGGCCTCATGCTGGCTAGGCCCGTCCCTAGTCTTCGAGACTTCGACGACTTGACCTTTGACTTTGAGAAATTGAATAGAGCAGTGTCCGAAATATAACACACTTATTTTAACGGTTTATTTTAAATTTTAATTTAAAAAATTATTTACTTTATTTTCTAAATTTATAATTTTCTTACTGAATTATCTTTATTAATTATGCATATGGCTTTTTTTTTTAAAGATAATCCCTTCAATACCAGGCAGGCGCGGTGGGCATTCATATTTGTTTATTTTAATTTTACAATTAATGCTTACATAATGTGACTCCTTATATTTTTCTCTCTCTCTTTTGTAATTTCATTTAGTACAGGTGAAATTGAAAAAACTAATTTAAAAAAATAACAAATTAACTACAAAAATTCATTTAATCTTTTAATTGTCCTTTTTTAAAAAATTTTATTTAAAAATCATTAGTTTAAAATTTTAAATATAAATGGTTGAAATTGTATTTAATCAATACAGATATGTCATTGTAGTCATAAGCATCGTAGTGGCCATTATTGTGATGAGACTTCTTAAACTATGCAACAATAAGTAAATGGAGAGAGAATGTGCTGGCTTCTCTTGTATATTCCGCACTATGCAATAAGTTCATTGAAGACCAATTGAGGCAAGTAGTTGTCAATTCTTAGCACTGATGAAGTTTGAATGCGATCAAGTGTAAGAGAAAACGAGTGCAAAGACAAGGGGAAGGACTTGTTTCCTTTCCAAAAAAGTGCAAAGACAATAAGTAAATGGAGAGAGAATGTGTTGACTTCTCTTGTGTACTCCGCACTATGCAATAAGTTCATTGGAGACCAATTGAGGCAAGTAGTTGTCAATTCTAAGCATTGATGAGGTTTGAATGCGATCAAGTATAAGAGAAAACGAGTGCAAAGACAAGTTGGAGGCCTTGTTTCCTTGCCAAACAAGTGCAAAGACAATAAGTAAATGGAGAGAGAATGTGTTGGCTTCTCTTGTATATTCCGCACTATGCAATATGTTCATTGGAGACCAATTGAGGCAAGTAGTCGTCAATTCTAAGCACTGATGAAGTTTGAATGTGATCAAGTGGAAGAGAAAACGAGTGCAAGGACAAGTAGGGGCCCGTACTTCCTTCTCACTTTTTTTTTCTCCATTTGTATCTCTCTCTGTTTTTTTTTGGAGGATTACAATCAGATCTCAAAGAAGGAATTTAATTATCCTCAAGTTCATTAACAATTAAAGATTATGTAATGACAAGTTTTAGAATAGAAAATAACAATGTATTCATGCTAGTCATTTGTTATTGGGATTTTTAGTAATTAAATTATTTTCTTGAAACCTTATGATAATTCTTTTTTTTTTTTCCTCCTAGCTTTTCTTGACACCCAATTCAAGCAGAGTTTCTCTTCGGCCTATTTGCTTTAAGCTATGTGGGGACGACCTAAGTCAATGTGTCTGTAGTCCCAAGTCAAGTCAAGATAATAAATTTTTGCAATCATATTTTTTAGAATATTGCTTACAAATTTTACCCCACATGTAAATCTTGCCAAGTCTGCCTTTGATTTTTTTTTTAATATAAAAAAGGCTAAAGTTTGAGCATAAAATTAAAACATAGGGGCCCACCTCTGATTAATGGGAGAAGAGGGATCACATGTGTTGACCGTGTGGTCGGTCTTGTTGCTTCGGAAATTTGTGGTGCCAACTATCCCATTAATAGGCAAGGACGAAGGAAGAATATAAGCGTGAAAAGAACATAAAATTAAAACATAGGGGCCCGCCTCTGATTAATGGGAGAAGAGGGATCACATGTGTTGACCGTGTGGTCAATCTTGTTGCTTCGGAAATTTGTGGTGCCAACTATCCCATTAATAGGCAAGGACGAAGGAAGAATATAAGCGTGAAAAGAACATAAAATTAAAACATAGGGGCCCGCCTCTGATTAATGGGAGAAGAGGGATCACATGTGTTGACCGTGTGGTCGGTCTTGTTTCTTCGGAAATTTGTGGTGCCAACTATCCCATTAATAGGCAAGGACGAAGGAAGAATATAAGTGTGAAAAGAAGAAATTTTTATTTCTTAATATATTAAATATGTTATATTTTCAATTTTAAAACTTATTACTGAGATTTTCTAATAGCTATTTTCTTTTTTTGAATCTTATTGTAATTTGTCTTGTTTTTAAAAAAATGTAATTTATGCTCCTTCATGGCCTCATGTTAGTTGGGCCCGCCTTTTGTCTTGGACAACTTGACTTTTGACTTTGAGAAATTGAGCAGTACTGTCTCTGAAATATAACTATTTAAATGGTTTGTTTTCATTTTAAAATTAAAAAAGTATTTACTTTATTTTCTGAATTTATAACTTCTTAAATTATCTCTATTAATTATATATATTAAGAAAGTCTTTTCATCAATTATCTCCAATTTAAATAATTGAAGGGATGTCTTAAAAAAAAAAACCAACGCACATTTTTTTGCAAGTAGTTAATTTAATTAATTTTTTAAATCTTACATCGTAGTACTTTGTAATAATTACATTTCTTTACCTCATAAAAATGCTCATCCCAAGGACAAAGCCATATGCATAACTCCGTATAGATTTGACAACAAATCAAAAGCAAGATTTATGAGTAATGAGCAAACTAGTGCAAGACCTGTATATATTCCTAGGCACATATGAATATATATTCCTTGAGTTGTTGATTAGTGGGTTATAAAGTTGAGAATAATCCTTCCCATATCATTCACTAAATAGGATTCCAAAATTGCAAATCCTAAATTTCAACAACCATGAAATTTTCTCTCATTCGTTGTGCTTTGGTTTCATTATTCCTGCCTCATCTTCTCATTCTCATCAACGCCCATCAGCATCCGGACTTCTTTAATCGCACCTGTTTCAACGACAAGGGAACCTACGCAAACAAAAGTGCCTACCACACCAACCTCAATATACTTCATCAATTATCTCCAATTTAAATAATTGAAGGGATTATCTTTAAAAAAAATGCCATATGCATAACTCTGTATAGATTTGACAACAAATTAAAAGCAAGATTTATGAGTAAGGAGCGAATGAGTGCGAACGAGTGCAAGCCGTATATATATTCCTAGTCACGTATGAATATATTAAAAAGGCCAACTAATAACGTGCCCACTGAATGATAGCGTAAGCGAGGTATCAAGAAGAAAAACAATGTTATATCATTTATTTTCCTTAAGAGTGTTTCTGGTAGTTAAACACATAAATTATGTACTACCTCCATTTCTAATTATAAGAGCCAGTTGACTAGTTTGAGGAAATTAAGAAAATAAGTTAAGTTAGTTATTTATCATAAATAGATGTTGTCTTTCTTAAAATATTTTTACTAATCAAGTGTATTGACTAGAACTATCATTATTAGAAGGGTTACTTTGAAAAAAAATATATAAATATGAGAGAAAAAGTGGATTAGGGTCTTATATTTAGGACCAAAATAAAAGTCAAACAAAGCTTTATATTAAGGACTAGAACTAGTATGTTGTTTCCACAGTGCATGTGTCGGAATTTTACTACAAGGCCATGTGGAAGTGGAAACACAGACACATTAATTGTCGGCATTTGCTGAATTGCTGTGTCAAAATAACCAAACATATGGAACAAAATGCAATATCCCTTATTTGAATCTTGTCGTTGACTTGTTGACTTTTGTGTCCTATCAAGATGTTGAGGTTATTGTTGTCCTAATAAGCCTTGCTTCATCGCTCATCAATAATACTCAAAAATCGCATCTTAATTGCTTAAGAAGCTTTACTCTTTTCATTTATCACAGTTTTAATTTACCCCAATAATGACGCTGATTGTCAATGTTCTTCTGGTTCTTCTACCATTCTTTTGCCATCTTCTCATTCTCACCACCGAGCAGGACCGACCTTATGGTAATCAAACCTATTTCAATGAGAAAGGAACCTACAAAGACAAAAGTGCCTATCATACCAACCTCAAAACCCTTCTTTCCAATTTCACCTTCAGCACAGCAGATGACTATGGCTTTTACAATTCCTCGTACGGCCAACACCTTGACACAGTTTACATGTCTAGACTCTGCAAAGGAGATCTTACGCCAGATGCTTATATTAAAATGATGATTACCATACGAAAACTAGGGAAGCCATTGTTTAAGAATCTTATGAAATCGAAGCATATGGGACTAAAGATTAATCTATTTCCAAAAACGACGAAAAGTAAACAAAACATAAAAAAAAAAAAAGGATGAACGTTCTCTCAACACAAGCATAACCCACAACCGTGCTTAGCTCTAACCTAGAAATAAGGGAAGGCAACAATGGAGGGAGGCTTGTAATGGCAAAAAGGACAACAATGTTAAAGAATACCGTGAATCAACGGTAGAGCTCCAACCTAGGACATAGAGAAGGCTATCTTTGAGAAAGAGAATGGAAAAACTTGTTTAATTTGAAGTGTGAAAGAGGATTATCTTTGAGAAATTAGTCACTTTCTTTAATTTGAAGTTTCTTTCACGTTAATTTGGTCAACTGTTTCAATGTCGCCAAAGTCTTGCTCCTATTTAAGCTTAGTCTCAACCATATATGTAACCAGTCTAAAAAATACTCCTACCATTTTTCTTAAAAACAAAAAACAAAAGAAAACTCCATCTGGTTTTCTACCAAAAAAGAATGAAAGAAAATTCAAAACACTAAATTGGCCCCACTACAAATTCTAAAAAGACCAAGTTCCTGAAAAGCATCAAGCACGTGGAAAGTTTAAACGTCCCAACCTGCACATGGTAGTGGGCCACTTGGAAAAACCACAGTGTGAATGGAGAAATTAAATAACCCCTTGAAGACTTGTATTCCTAGAAATTCCTATCTTAGACTTGTCAACTTGTATTCCTAGAAATATTGGAATCTTATCTTCAGACTTGTCAACTATACTGTGTTTTATATTAAGGATATTGTACTAGGAAGCTTGGCTTACCGCATCCTAAGCTTCACACTCAAATCTCATTTGTCAAATTTCATTCATTCCTTGATGACAACTACAGCTACTATTTTCTTGGCTCTAATCTCTCTCCTTTCTCATCTTCTTGTTCTTACCGCCCGGCCTGACTCCTCTTTTTACAAGTGTTTCAATGAAAGGGGTAACTACACAAAACCAAGTGCCTACCACACCAACCTCAATACCCTTCTTTCTAATTTCACCTTTGACACCAAAATTGACTATGGCTTCTACAATTCCTCTTATGGTGAAAAACCCAACACAGTTAACGCACTTGGAATGTGCAGAGGAGATGTGAAGCCAGATTCTTGTCGTAATTGCCTCAATAATGCTACAATCCTTCTCCCAAAGCAATGTCCATATCAGAAGGAGGCATTTGGATACTATAATTTATGCATGTTTCGATACTCAAGTCGTCAAATGTCTGGGATTTACCAAGACACTGATTTTCACAACTATACTAGCACTGATACTAATGCAGCAGATGCAAACAAATACAACAATTTACTTAATCATCTAATGCAAGCTCTGACAAACAAGGCTAGGGATGGTAACTCTCATCGTAAGGTGGCTGCCGGAAATGCAACAGTTGATCAATCTCAAGTTGTGTATGGCCTTGTTCAGTGCACCCCTGATTTGAATGGGCAAGATTGCTTTGATTGTTTGCAGGATTCTCTTTTTTATATCCCATATTGTTGTCAGAACAAGGCCGGTGGGACGATTATCAAATTGAGCTGCAATATTAGATTTGAAAATTTCTTATTCTATGATCTTGCACATGCCGATTCAATAAAAATAACTCTCCCCTTTGCTCTTTCTCCATCAACAAATACTACTTCCCCACAAGGTATCTCTCACAAACTCATAGCCTTATGTGTATGGTGTTTACTATGAAAAATTTCACCTGCTATTAATTCGTGTGATCGGATCGGATAAGCTTGAAGAGGAAATATAAAACTTCTTTTTCGTGACATCCCAGGAGTTCCTGATTTAACAAAACCTACATCTTCAACAAAAGGTTCTCATTCTTATTCTCATAGTATGGTCTGATATGTACATGACATCATCAAAAAATATAAATTATAGAACTTCAACATGATACATTTTTCATAACCCCATCAAACTCCCTATGTAAAATTTAAGTTTCTTTAGATGAAGTTTTGAATATAAAATTTAGCTCGTGAACATATTGTTAATTACAATTATGAAATTAAAAAAATGTTATTTTGTTTTTGAGGTTGTCTGTATACTCTAGTAACATAATGTCAATGAGTTCCATCTGCAAATTCGACTTTGATTTTGCAGGAAGTAGCAATAAATCAACAACTACCATTGTTGTGTTGATTGGTGCCATTATCGCCCTTCTCATAGCATTCTTTATGGTTACAAGAAAGAAGAAAACCCATGAAAGTAAGTCTAAATGAATTTCTTATCCTTTTAGCTGGGAAAAATTCTTTAAAAATGTTAATTATAATTTCGATTAATGAAACCTTTTTGGCAAAACAAACACAAGACATTTTTTATGTTGAGATTTTTCAGCAAAACAAAGTGAGGGGAGTTTAAATAGATCTTTGTACTTCATGCTATTTGAAGAACTCATGACTTGCTCTTTCTCAGTTGAAACTACAATGAAGGATGATGATGAAACTAAACTAGCTGAGATTCTGCAAATCGATTATAATACCATCAAGCTCGCAACTGATAACTTCTCTGATGCAAACAAGCTTGGACAAGGAGGATTTGGGCCAGTGTATAAGGTATAATAAATTTGTTACTTGGAAGTTCATAGTATCATTATATTGTTGAAAGTGAAGAAGAGAAAAAAAAAGAGTCTGTATGTGTTCATGATTTACATTCTAATAAATAAATGCAGGGTTGGCTTCCCAATGGCCAAGAAGTTGCTGTGAAAATGTTGTCCAGGCATTCTAGGCAAGGAGATTTAGAATTTAAGACCGAAGTGATGTTAGTAGCAAAACTTCACCATCGAAATTTAGTAAGATTACTTGGTTTCTGTTTAGAAAAAACAGAAAGACTACTCGTCTATGAATTTCTTGCCAATAAAAGTCTTGATTTCTTTTTATTCGGTAAGTAACATAGTTTGCATATCTATCACTTTGTTTTTATTGTTTGAATGAGAATCCATATTTTAGACACCTATGGTTTTAACACATCATAGCATTAAACTGGTAAGAATATAACAAGAAATTTTGTAGATCCAAATCAGCAAGCTTTTTTGAATTGGATAGTACGATACAAGATTATAAGGGGCATTGCTCGTGGTCTGCTTTATCTTCATCAAGATTCAAGGTTACGTATTATTCATCGTGATCTTAAAGCAAGCAATATTCTCTTGGATGATGAATTAAATCCTAAGATATCAGATTTTGGCACTGCGAGACTATTTAAGGCAGATCAAACTCGAAGCAATACTAATAGAATTGTGGGAACTCGGTAAGTAATGATGAATCCAATGGTTGAAAGCTACAAGACTATTAATAACTACTATATTGAGCTAAATTTATTCATTTTAATAAGCAGCGGTTATATGGCCCCAGAATATGTACTGTACGGTCAATGTTCAGTAAAATCAGACGTATATAGTTTTGGGGTATTGGTTCTAGAGATTATAAGTGGCAAGATAAACAACTGCACCTTTCATGTAGAGAATACACAGCATCAGCTGGACCTATTAAGTTTTGTAAGTCTATGCTTCTTCCCTCTCGAAAGTAGAGAATTACGTTTATGTCTGCTCTCTCTCTCTCTATATATATATATATATATATATATATAAAGCTAACATATATACAATTGGAAAAGTAGCTCAAGACTAATATTCTTCACCATTAATGAACAACATTTTCAGGTATGGAAAAATTGGAAGGAAGGGACGACCTCAAATATAGTAGATCCTGTGATAAGCAATGGTTCAAGAAATGAAATAATGAGATGCATTCACATTGCATTGCTCTGTGTTCAAGAAAATGCAGCTGATCGACCAACCATGGCCTCAGTCTCATTTATGCTAAACAGCTTCTCTTCCTCTCTCCCTGTACCTTCAGAACGTCGATTTCTTGTGAATTATAGCAGTTCATCTGAGACAATGACTTTGAGGCATAACTGTTCAGAGGCAACAAGAGCAAGTGAACAAGGAAGAAACTCTAATCAATCATCACGAAATGATCTATCAATTACGGAGCTATATCCTCGCTAGATTTTTGGTCTTGCATGTGACGCCAATCAAAAGCGTTATACAAGAAAGTATATGTTGACAGATATAATATATATTGATTGTATTTGTATTATATAAGAAGCTTTAATCACGAAATAAGTGAAGTTTCTCACAGTATTTCTAAAAGTTGTCTTACGATGGGCAAAGATTTATCCTGCCCATTTCTCCTTATTTCAACTTCAGAACATGCATATAACTATACATGCGTAGAAAGTGAGGAGAGTCAATCTTGGCCTTTTTCCATGTGAGACAGAGTAAGCAGTGGTTGTTGAGGTTGATCCATGCATTGTAAGTTGTCTTTCTTTTGGACTTTTGTGCTTTTGAAATATGATTTCCCATGCATCTCTGCTGGGCAGCAGAGTTGATTGCTATGAAGGCTAATGGAATTCCATCTTTCCTTGCATGGAAGGTTTGGCCTTGTTCCCTACACTGAAGGCCAGGGAAATAAGAGAGGAGGATCTTCTTATTTCTCGTAGGCAAATAACCGAGTTTAGAATCTTTGACTCATGAATAACTTAGTTTCTCAACCTCTAAATTGTGTTAATAACAATGCTAATCTCATGAAGTTGTTGGTGGTTTCGTATATTGAGATCCTACAATGTATCAACTAACCAGTTTTTAAAGGAGTCAAAACTTGTGACATTGAAGATAAGCTTCCAAGCCAAATTTTTTGGGTGAAAGGGCAGTTTATGAATATATGATTAATGGTTTTTGGTAGGTCACAAGCAAGGCTACAATTCCTTGAAATGTTTAGATGGTGAAGGGAGAGGATATCATAGGAAGGAACAGCCCTATTAAGCAATTTCTAAATAAACAAAAGATGCTTGGAAGGAAAGGAGATGGACCAAAGGAATTTCCAAAACCCATTGAAATTTGAAGAGTCTATGGTTATAGATAAGGCTCAATAGCCAACCTTTGTTATGAAATTACTAGATGAATTACCTTTCCAGAGTCCGTGAAGCATTCAAGGAAAGAGGATTGAAAAACAAAAAAAAAAAAAGTCAGAACATATTTACAGTAAATATAGTTACATTTGTCTCTTTATGCTTAATTAATTTGTTGGCCCTTAATTAACTTTATCTAGCCACCTAAAATCTTCATTTCCATATATTTTAGACTAAAAACTCCAAAGTATAAAAAACAGAAACCAATATATATACATACATTTATGTGTGTGTGTGTGTGTGTCTGTGTGTCTGTGTGTAAACAGAAGCATTAACTTCAACGAATGTATCAGCATAGTTAACAATTCAGTCAGATACCTCATGACTAGCATGTTTACCAAATGGTAGCCCAGCAGAGCAAAAAATAGGAAGAGTGGTGAAAGATTTTGATGCAAGTGAAATGTCCGTATAAGTATGAGAAAATGGCGACTTAATCACTGATGAGTTCTGTTTAGCCAACAGTGAACAATAAAACAGGATTAATACAACTTAATCCCAAATTACAACATATAACGAAGATGAACAATGGATCTTGCTTAGGAAGTCTTGAATAAAAGTGATGTGGCAAAACTAGACAAACGAACATGTAGCTTAGCATTATAACTGAGGCCACATTTCTTTTCATTCCTGAACAGAGTTGTATTCTCACCCATTTGAAGCTTGAATGGAGCTAGTAGTGTCTCGTTCAGTGGATCTTGTTATTCCTAAACTATCTCCCTGAATAATGCATCTCTGGTAAAGTTCTATAATTCTTTAAAAATGCAAGTTGTGAAGGTAATGAGAGAGAGAATGAGTGGCTGCTGAGCATAAGTGCAATGTTAGCCATGGTGGGCCTGTCTGCTATATCTTCTTGAATGCAGAGTAAACCAATGTGGATGCATCTTATCATTTCCTTTCTTGACCCATCATTTAATGATGAATCTACTATATTTGAGGCTATCCCTTCCCTCTAATTTTTCCATGCCTGCAAGAAGTTTATCATCAATAGTAAACAATACATTGGCAAGCTATTATAGCATATATACTTAATCTCAGAATATGTACACCTATGCAAGAATATAAGATCAAAGGGAGCTAGGTTGACATAAATTATGTAAAAAGAAAAGGACTTACAAAGCTTAATAAATCATGGGCTTTCTCCTCGTGAAAGTTGGTATTGTTTCTCTTTCCACTACAATCTCTAAAACTAATACACCAAAACTAAAAACATCTGATTTGATTGAAAATTGTCTGTGCATTGCATATTCTGGTGCCATATATCCGCTGCGTGTTAATATGCACAAGGTTAGTCAAACATAAATTTCATTGAATCTCAAATCATTAGTTTTGAGGTCATCGGTAATATACTTACTAGGTTCCAACAATTCTGCTCGTATTGCTTTGGGTTTGATTTATGGAGAAGAGTTTTGCTATACCAAAATCTGATATTTTAGGATTTATCTCTTCATCTAAAAGAATATTACTTTCTTTGACATCACAATAAATAATACATAATGTTGAATCCTCATGAAGATAAAGAATGCCACGAGCAATGTCTCCTATGATTTTATACCGTGTTTCCTGTCACACCTTACTATCAGATCCATGTAGGATTTAATTAAAATCATTTTAGACCACATTGGATAGTCTTGGGCTCAAAAACTCTTGAAAAACGCTGATTTTCGGATTTTTACTGTTCATCGGGTAAAAATCCAGTTTTCTGGCCCAATTTAAAAAATTCATAACTTATTCCACAAAAATCCAATTGGGGTGGTTCAAAATTCTATTTAAAGCTATTTAAGTCCTCTTTCAAGGAAAAATACTATTATGATCCAATTCCTTATGAAAAAGCATCAGGTTTGTGTGAAAGGTGACACTGTCCATTTGACAAAAATCCTTATTCCAGATTCTAGACCTTAACTTTGAAAAATCATTAAAAATCGTATACTTGGCCATTTTTAACGTGCTGCCTATCAATTTGAAGCTCAGGACGTCAACTATAACCATGCCAAATTTCGTACAGAGATTCCCTCAGTAACTAAATAAAACGTGGCTCTAAACTAACATCCTGCTTAAGGATTACAGCACCAACCATAGATAATTATACATGACCAAATGTCCACGAATTTGTATAGTGTATCATCATAATTTAGCCTCCAATCTGTAGCTTGCTCTTGAGAGTTACAGGCCCTAAAATGTTACATTATATTTGGGGGGATGAGATTTTTGAAAATCCTAGTAGCAAGATCAACCAACCAAAACATTAACATGCATCAATTACAAGCATTCCAACCTTTTGCTATTAATAGGGAACTACTTTACCTCATACATGTAGCACTCTAACATGCAATAGCCAAGGCACATAAAGCAAGGAGTATAGCTACACAATCATCATCATCATCATCATTTAGTTCAACCACATAATAGCACATGAAATTGCATAGCAATCAATGCAACATTCAACATTAAGGCTAATTAAATCTTACTACCTTAATCCAATGCTCTTTAATTTTCTTGTTCTTCTTTCTTGCTTCCACAAATGCCAAACCCTAACATGGCAATCCACAAAAATGGAAGCAAGAATCATCAACCATTCCTCATGAAAAATTAACAACATAAATCAAGTAACCTCTAATCCCTTAAAGCTTCCATCTTTGTTCTTGAATTTTTAGAGTTATTTTCCATAAACCCTAAAAATTCCCTCTTAACCTTTTCCTACATAGTTTTTCATGTAGATTCCAAATATCTACTTGGATTTAACAAAATAAATCTCCTTCTTTCAGTTTCAGCTTGACCGAACCCTTAGGATTTAAAACTAAAAAATTGCAACTTTGCTTCTATGGCTTCCAACACTTGTTCTTTAGGTTTATCCTACACTATTTTTCATTTTGAACACAATGGAAGCCTCAAAACTTTGAAAAACATATCCTAGGGTTCAGATCTTGTCTTGGCCGAAAATAACACTCAAGGAAGTAACCATAAAAAATGCTTCAAAACCGACTATAATCACTTGCAAACACTAGGATCTAGCTTGTGTTGTTGTGTCTTAGCAAGATTGAACTATAAAACTTCCTCCTCCACTATATATACATTTTAGCCAGCATCAAAAGAGAAGGAAAAGCTATGATTTTTAACCATACAACTCAAGCAAACAAGGTGGAGAACATCTTAGAACCGAAAACTTACCTTGGATCTCACTTGTATGCTTAAAGTTGATGCCTTCTCCTTGGTTTTCCTTTGAAGCTCTTCCTTTTTCCTCTCTAACCCTCCTTGCACGAAATATGGATCAGATTTAGGGGAGGAAATGAGCTCATTCAATGCACAAAATATCCCACCAACCATCATTAATGAAGAGCCAAATGTCAAGTGCCTATTCCTTCTTAATTTTTCCTCTTAATTAACTTAATGACAATTGAAATTAATTTCAAAAGTCAAGATCCTCTCCAATGGTGGCTTGACACTTAGAAATCTCTAATTACCATCCATTAAAGGCTTGACAAGTGGCAACTTGTAGGCCAAGTAAAGTGCAAGACTCCGATTAACACTTTATCGGTGCACTTTTACTCCGGGTTTAATTTCTTTTCTATAATTACAGTGCTCTGGCCTCTGTAATTATTTTCTCTCAGATCCATAAATTATTCTCTTTATTTTTATCTTTCCAAATTGCCCTCTTTGTCTCAAATTTAATTTCTCAATAATTAAATAAAAAGGAAAACTATTTTCCTTCTTTTTAGTTGTTTTTCCACTTTTCCAAAGGATTGGAAATAATCCTGGATACTCAAGGGCCTTCTTTTAATTTCATAATCTCTTATAATTCCTTGGAATATCATAGGAATTTTCTTGAGATTTTATCCTCCTTAAAATATTTATTTGGAATTTTCCAAATAAAGGACCTTAAATTAGCTTAAATTGCCCTTAAATTCCTTTGTAATTTCTCTAAAGGTAAATTGGTCATAAAAATAATTTTATAATCCCATATCATTCTCAAGGAACATTGTCCTTATTTTTCTTTAATTTTCTAAGACTTGAAAATATTTTTCCATAATTATTCTTGACCAATTTTTCCTTAATTAGTTGAACTTTTCATAATTGGCTTGGAAAATTGTAATAATTATTTTCCACCAAAATTCTTTTATTTCTCCTTATCGCTTTTGACTCTTAAATATTTAGGAATATCCTTATTCCTAGTTGCCATATTACTGGATGTGACATTTCCCAATTCAGATGAGTTCGTTTCATAGGATCTACAATAATTTCAAGCCCATTTATAGTTTCAATATAAACATAATTCATATCACTCTAAAGTAAGTATTAAATGCTTGCCAAATAGCTAGTAGTCAAGACTTTTATTAGGAAGAAATTCACAGGCAAGTAACCTCTCTTTTCTTTCTAAACTGAAACCAAGTAATTTCACTAAATTACGGTGTTGAAGCTTGGCCACCAACGATACTTCATTCTTAAATTCTGGATATCTTTACCCAAAATCCATGGACAACCTTTTAACAACTATTTCTCTTCCACTAGAGAGCCTACCCTGCATTTATTGAAGTTGGGACACGTAGTTACTTTTTTGATGGCTATACATAAACCTCTTAGTCAAATGACAATACAGTTTTTTATTATGATTTTATACATACATATTTATATAACTGTTAGTGTACCTTAAACACAGACTCAAATCCTCCTTCTCCAAGCTTATTTTCAATAGAAAAGTTATCCATCGCAAGTCTGATGGTATGAAAGTTGAATTGCAATGACTCAATCGGTGTGATTTCATCTTGGTTAACTTCAAGTTTAACTGTGGAGGAGAGAAATGGATTAGTTCTTGAAGGGATGATCTTTAAGTTATCTGAACTTATAATATTGCCAAAGCTCACCGCTAGAAGAAAGGCTTTTAACGGCGATTAATTAAGGTTTTTCAAGACGGTTTTGGATGCGACATGGATATTATTGATATTGAAATGAGAATAAAACACAGCAGTTGAAAACTGTCATAAAAATTTGACTTTCCATGGAGGTTTTACTTTAAACCACCATGGAAAGTAGAATTTCCATGACGGTTTTACAGAAAATCGTCATGGAACGCCGTGATAAAATTTTGAATGGTGGTTATTCAAATAACCACTTTTAAAAAGTCTTTTTTTTAAAAAAAACTCCACATTTATTTCTTTTACTACATCCCTACAGTTACAGATCCAAATCAACTAGCAGAACAGAAGAATATGCAGAACAATTTCAAGATGACCATATGAATACTAGCATCCAATTCTTATTGAATCACCTAATATATCTAATAAATAATCAACTAGTTAATAGAAATAAAATGTGAGGAATGACCTAACTACTTCACATTTTCGAAATTCTATGGCATTGTTGTTGACAAAATACCCCTCATCAAGTTAATTTCCTTCATGTCATATGGCATAGCATTTTGAAATGCCTATAAATAAAAAATAACATGGTCATTAGTCAACTTGATAAAAAATGTGAAAAGAATTGAAAAATTACATACAATGTAACCTATATTTATCTCGTTTAATTTCTTAATCACTCATGTTTCAATGATGTCATTCATGTAATGAAAGACATAATATCCACATTCAACACTCCCGGATTGACGATGGTTAACTTGAATCACTTCCTTTACAGACTATCTTAGAGGAATCAACTCGAAGGACTTTCGTTAATGTTTCATTCACCTTTACTCAAAGTCTTGCTCCAATCTAAACTCTCTCTCTCTCTCTATATATATAATCAGTCAAGATAAGAAATTAGCCGTAGAACAAATTATACAAAAGCCAAGGTCATGTTCAATAGTCAACCCATCAAACAGACTTTTCCTTGCGCACTATTTGCAATCAATCCATGATTCCCGGAAAGCTAAGGCCTCTCAATCATACAGGCTGGCCGTTTGTATATGTACCACAGTATGAATGGAGGACACCTGCAAGGATGGTGGGCATTTAAATTCCAATGTTATAAATTGACCGTTGGAAGACTTGTGTTCCTATAAATACTCATATCTTATCCGCAGACTTGTCTCTTTTTTTTTTTTGTGATAAAAAGATCAATTATATATATATATATATATATAATTATACAACTAAAGTTGACATTGAAAGAATTCAGAAAAGGGAATGAGTAAAACACCAGTTATGTAAAAAGAGTAATCAGAAAAAGACTAAGATAACATGTTAATGTTCTTTGCTAGGATGCCATTGGAATCATAACGAATCCTTAGACTTGTCTACTTGTATTTCTAGAAATATTCCAATATTATTTCTCAAATAATTTGAGCTTATATATGTATATTGACTATTGGGATGATCACTTTAGAAAAATTTGACTCGCCTATCTGCGTGATTGGATAAGCTTAAAGTAAAAAACACTTTTCCACAAATTAAGAGCTCTCCAATCATACATTTAAAATTGCATTATGATTGTTGATAATAATTAAGGTACTATAAAATTGAATTGGTTGAGGTAATGATTTAAAAGTCTGTATTTCAATCGAAGTAATCGATCACAATCAAAATAATATAAAATCCAATCAAAATGTATACAAATACTGCATAATTTACTTTTTTAAAGAATGTTTTTGGTAATTAAATATAAATTATATGGAACATCAACACGAAAAAAGGCAGCCCAACAATGCACAAAGAGTACTTCGTCTAGTTAGGGTTCAGGAAAGGCTAGGTCATGCAGGATTTAATGCAGGCAACTTTACTTGAAAATATTTTCAAGAGGTTAATTCCGTGGCTGGAACCCGTGACCTTTTTCTACATGTTTTTTTGCCAATAATTTTCATGTCAATGTATCTACTAACAGCTACGCCTCCTAAATAAGTGATAAAAAAAATGAAGTTGCTATGAATTGAACCTGAACTGATAATCAACATGAACACTCACAGACTATGTATATTACAGGCGCAACGTCAGTGATGACTACATTTTTTATGCGTCCCTTAAGCATTTAGACTTTAGAGAAACAAATATAAGAAAGAAGCTTAGGGAGAGGATCTAACTAGTACATTCATATACAAAATCTCAAAAGTCTTTACCAGTCACTGTATTTGCATCCAACTGGTTACAATCTAATCTGGAATGAGTTTTGGTATTCATCAGAGTGATGAGCACTCTAAGCTCATCATATTTAAGACCATTCAAATATGATTTAGATGGTCTAGATTTATTTATTTTTACTTGTATTTTTAAATAAAAAATTATTTTCCAAAAAATGATGGTTAAAATATTATCTTTATTTTATATTTCATACTCATTAAAATAATGATTTTTAAAAAAATAAAAATAAATTAAATTAAATATGGACCATTCAAATCAGATTTGGATGGTCGAAATATGATGAACTTGGTTGCTTATCAATTTAATGAGCACTGAAACCAGTTTCAGCCAAATTAATAGTTCTTTTTTTAATGTTTTTTAGGCGTAATTTTCAATTCATAAGTTGGAAATGGAAGCAGATGACCACTGGTTTCTCTCTCTACCTAAGCCTGAATCCAAAAGATTACTAATGGGTTCAGTTTCTGCACTCATTGGGAGCTCTAAATCTAAACTATCTTGATTAGAATTTGATTATTCAAATTTAATTTATTGTAATTTTGTTTTTTATGTTTTAAATATTTTATTACTTCAATATAAAAAAATTTAAAATAAAAATAATCTTCTAATTATCATATCTGATCCTTAATATAAGATCAGTTGACTAATTTAGAGAAATTAGGAAATTTGCTAAATTATTTTAAACTTTTTATATTTATCATTTTTATCCCAGCTAATCTATCTCACTTATAAATTGACATATAATCAAACGATTTATATAAGTATTTAAAAAAAATCATGTAACATATGTTATAATTAAATAATTTAGTAATTTCATTAATCTCGCCAAATTAATTAATTAGGTTTTATATTAAAGACCAGAGGTAGAACCACTCTAAAAAAAGGAACATATATAATATAACAACTATAATTATAAAAGTTTAGATTTGAATTTTCCAAAGGACAATCTAAATCTTATCATGCAAGATAAAAAAGAAAATCTAATCACGTTTATGAGGACTGTAGTCAGAAATTGGGCGTTACCTTTTGAGCCCATATCTCGATCCAAATTATCCATGAAGTCCAAATTCTCGACCCAATCCAATGCAAGTCCACCAAAGGACAATTTTGTTGTATCTCAGGGCTTTGTGTTTGATCCATTCACAGTCTTTGGGTTGAGCCATTGAGCCTGTGGAAAGATATGACCGGAGACAATCCCGTAGCCGGAGGGGACGACTCAGATGATCCAAGCCCATCGGTTTAAGTTTAGGCCCTCCATCCATATTCCCTCTTTTTTACTTTTTAATTCTTCATTCAATGTAAGCATTCTCTGCCCGCCTCTTTGTCTATTGAATGGAATTGTGAGTGTCCCCCTTTTGAATCCATTACATATTGATTAGTTTCAAAACTATATTTTGTAGTTGTTGATCTAACTATGAGATCCTATTTTGCCCTGGGGTTATATACCTCGATATATGAGGTAAAATTCTGCATTCCTACTATGCTCGAAAGGTGTTTGGTTATATGCCTTCTTTTCTAATTCTTTGTATTTTATGTGACTATACTTTTAGGACTTATCATTCCATCAGTTGGCTAGTGGTCGTCGTGCATCGTGCTCTGTTCTATCAGTTCTCTGTGGAAACGGCCTTTCTCTTGTCATCATTAAAGGAAATAGCACCTGATGGCGATTCAAGCTTCCTTCGAGGTTAGCAATATACTCCATCTTTCTTAGACTTCGATAATTCCCCTAATGATACATTCTTTTCTTCTCACTGTAAATTGTAACAGCTGAAGGGTCGTGTAAAAGACTAAAAATTTATATCTTTTGTGATTGTGACCTGTCTCTTTTGCCTACTCCGTTGTCTGTTATATGGGAGTATTTCCCCTTTGAATCTATCATATGTTGATCAATTCTAGTTGTTGATCTAACCATGAGATACTATTTTGGTTAAAAAAAAAAAAAACAGAGACCCTATTAAGACATGGGGTTGATGGTTCTGTGATATGGAAATCTTCACTCGTGCATGCTCGAAAGGTGTTTGATGATATGTTTTCTTCATAATTTGTTGTACTTTATGTGATTTCAGTGTTACGACTCACTATTCAATTCGTTCACAAATGGTCGTGGCCCGTGCTGCGTCCTACCAGTTTCGTGTTTTTATGGTAGAAATGGTCTTGATCTTTTCAACATTTATGGAAATAGCGCCTGACGGCCATTTAAGCTTCCTTCGAGGTCAGTAGCATACTCCACCTTCCTTAAGCTTCGAGAAATGCCCCAGTTTTACATTCTTTCCTCCCTCTTTGAATTGTAATCGCTGAAGAGTCGTTAAAAAGTTTAGATTTTGTGAATGTATGTCTCAAAATGAGCAGGACCAATACAAGGAAATAAAGGCAAGAGCACTCGTAGATTATCTGGCATTTACATCGCCGAGAAATTCTCAATTCATTTACGATGGACATATGGCATCTCATACTTCAAAAGCATAATCAAACTCGTACTATCTTGGAAAATGATTACTCTTTGACGTTTCATGATTTGAGGATGTCATAGAATTGTAGTTAGATTGACCTGCACTGGATTCCCATGAAACCGAGTTCAGCTTCAAATCAATATCCATGTGAAATGCTGGTTCTCGAGGCAATGGCAATTCAGCTAACAGGCTACTTAGATACGAAACAATCCTTGCCATTGTGGGCCTATTTTCTGGGTTCTCTTGAACGCATAATAATCCTATTTGGATGCACTTGATCACTTCACTCTGAGGACATGAATCTTTTATTTCTGGGTCCACTATCTCAAGCGGTGTCTGATTCCTCCAATGTTTCCAAGCCTGAAATAATATATCAATAATTACATTTATGATTGAACCATTGGTTTCTGCTTTTCTGTTTTTGGCTTTGTTTGCTACACAACTCAGGATGGTGATATGCACGTCATTAGCAAAGTCTGAAACAAATTATTGGATTTTGTACTTACCTGACTTAAGAGGTCATCAAGATCTTGTGTTTCAATAGGACGAGCATTCCTTTTTGCACTAACAATCTCAAGAACTATGACGCCAAAACTAAATACATTAGACTTTCCAGAAAATTGGTCACGCATTGCATATTCTGGAGACATATAACTACTATAAAAAACAACAATACTAGTTAGAACTGCATAAGATTAAGTAAACTGTTGAGCATATCAGGAACAATAAAAAGGGTCTTCTTATATGTGTAACATATTCAAGAGCTAATTCACATAAACTCCTCCGCTAGTGGCACTTGACAAGAATAGGACTTTAATAGGAGAACATGAAAGTTAAAGTTTAACGGGAGCTTAACAATACTTTGTCCCACAAAAAATGTTTATCTGTAAAATTGTGCAATGAAAGGATAAATAGTGGAAGTGATAAGATAAACCAAAAAGAATTAAAATACTTACTATGTACCAACAATTCTATTAGTATTTATTTGATCCTGATCTATAGCAATGATTCTTGCCATGCCAAAGTCTGAAATTTTTGGATTCATGTTGTCATCTAATAATACATTGCTTGGTTTAAGATCACAGTGTCTAACTTTGAGTCGAGAATGCTCATGTAAATAATGAATTCCTTGTTCAATGCCTCCAATAATCTTGTAACGTTCAAACCAATTCAACTATCTCTCTTTTTTGGGATCTACACATCATCATGAGTCATTGAAGTTAGTACAAAGGTGAACTCTGTTTTTTATGGGAGGTGCTACCATAATCATATATGAAACATTGCATTTTAACTTGTCAGTGGTAAACTCGAAAATATAGTTGGGATAGGGATAGAGGAACTCCACCAAATAAAAAGTGATCAAGACTTTTGTTGGGTACGTATTCATAAATGAGCATTTTCTCTTGTCCTTCTAGGCAAAATCCTAATAAAGCCACCAAATTCCTGTGTTGTAACTTGGCAATTAGTAAGATTTCAGTTTTAAATTCCGTTGCACCTTGTCCAGAACTTCTTTAAAGCTTTTTGACAGCTATTTCTCTCCCATCCGGAAGAGTTCACTAAAATCATACCATTTGTTAGGCACATTGGATGAAAAGTGTATATATATCTATGTATTTATAATAATCACATTTAGTCACCTTGTAAACTTCTCCAAAACCACCTCTGCCAATTTTTTTCTCATGTGAAAATCTGTTTGTGGCAGCTTCAATCGTGGCCAAACTGAATTGCAAGGATTCCAAAGTAGCCAGTTCTTCCCCAACTGCACAGTTGAATTTAAAAGGTAAGCATATTAGAAATTGAGAATGAATGGTTTTATAAATCTTCTTCACACTACGTACAATTTTCCCTTAAAATGCTTCTCTGCCTCTGCCTTGCTCTTCTCCGCAGCAAAAACCTGACAAAACCCAACAGAATTACTGAAGCCATAACAAGGACAACAATCAAGGCAACTGCTCGTGATGAAAGTTTCTTCTTTCCTGCATTTTTTTCAAAAGAAATCCATAGAAAGAATATTCATCCTTTGACGATTCAAAAGCAAACAATAAACACGAAATTAACAATATTACATGTGTACTGTAAGTTATCAAAAAGGTATGGTGATTGCCTAGGAAGCTTCTAAATCCACAAAAGCTGTTCTTTTATATTTCTTGAGAAATAGTAGTATTTTTTTTTTCTTTTTTGCAATTTAAAATGTCAAGCACTGATAACTTGAGATTATAAGAAGAAACAAATCCGCAACCTCCCACCTAAAGGAAATTTTTATGCCATTAGGCCACAAGGCATTGGCAAATAGTATTGTGTTCCAATCCTTCGAGACTCATATGATCTCAATCTCATCTTATCTAATTAATCAAAAACGAGGTAGGATCTGGAACACTCGAAGAATCTTCTTATCAGGTTTACATTAACGTATTAGAACAGTTCTTATTGAAAATGTACAAGAAATTGATGAATTCCAGCTGGAAAATCCATATATAAAAACTAGCTCAGTGGACTTCCCAAACTCTTTCCAAACAAAAATATAAAAAGACGAAATAAACAAGTTCTGAAATTTTATTCATTAAGATGTATGTATATTACCTGAAGAAGTCAATGACGAATCAGATGAACTGTAAAATGGATACAGTTCATATGGGACAACACAAGAAGCAAGCAAAGCTCTTGCCCCTCCAGCTCTGTTACGACATATCGGAAAAGTTCCGATGGCATTTTTCAAGCAAGTCTCACACTGCGCCGACTGTATGTCAACGGTTTGGTTGCCGGCAAACTTTGCTTCCCCCGTGGTGAACTTCTCGGCCGTCTGAGAATTCGCCGCTGTTTCTGCATTATTCAACGAGCTGAACAACGTTTGATTGAACGCATTCAGATTGTTGCCAGATATGTTCCTCCCGTCCACCAGCTTCCTCCCAGGTTCGGTGCCGCCAAACTTGAAGTACCTATATATATATATATATATGTTTTGAGTTATGATTATTTCATTTGAAATCTAACCATTCCTTATATATACAGCTCCGACCAGGTGGCGTTTGGGAGAGAAGATGTATGCAGTCTTATAAACGGAGAAGCTGTTTTCAGATTTGAATTTTATGATTTTCAAGTCACATTGCAGCAACTTTAACGTTCTTTCAGGACTCACCCTTTACCTTATGAAAAGAAAAAATATGATAAATGACTTATAACATGGCTTTGTTATTTACCTGTCTGTGTATCGGAGCATGCACTCTTCATACCAGATGATGGCCTCCGTCTGGTTAGGCCAACGCCGTGTGATCTGGGAGGCTGCGGTGGTGACACACTGATGACAGCTGCTGATGTTTAGGTCTGCCTCGCAGTTGAAAAGTCCGTTGACAGCGTCGGTGAATCCGAATCCCGTAACAGTGTAATATCCCTTGACCTGAGTGGCGTTGGTGGCGAGGGAAGAGAGGAGAGCATTGAGATTGCCACCAGATCTGCTATCAGAAGTGTAGGTGCCATTTTCTGTGCAGTAATCAGCCAGATACGTTGGAGATGCTAAGGTATTCAAGCTAAGAAAAGCACACGGGTAAACTAGTGCGTACAAGATCGCAAATTTTTTAAGGGTAGCCGCCATTATCTGAGGATTACCAGTTTCTGTGTTATTTTCCAGAAACCTGGTTGCCACAGTGGGATTGGGCGGAACAAGAAGGTCATGAACAGATTCTTTTTCATGGGGATTGTTTTCTTTTTCAAAGTTTGACCCGGCGATGATTTTTCATTTTTGAGCTTCTATATTGTTATGGAGCAGGTTGTCATGAGGAAGCATTGTTCAGCCATACGTTTTGGCTTCTTTCTTTTTTTGCCTGAATTGTTCAGCCATACGTGATTGTCCACTTTAGTATTCTTTTTATCCCATGTGTGTAGAAAAATGTTGCCAACGTAGACTTTCTCTGCCGCAAGTATTGATTAATACTTTCTAATTTTTTTTTTTTTTTTTTTTTGGTTACAAGGGAAGGCTAGCGTCTAAATTACATTATCAGCATCAGTACTCCGTTTTTCCCTCATCAGAATCCTTTGCAGGTGCGCCGGACAAGAGTCCAAAAGCTTCGATCCTTGAAACCCCATTTTGGCTAGTTCATCAGCAAACTCGTTACTAGCTCTTGGAGCATACTGAATAATTACTTCCCACTGGAAATTTATCATCTGACAGATCCTTCGAAAGACCATAGAGCAGCAATCATCCTGCCCATTCAACTGAATTCTATCCACCACGGCCTAAGCGTCAGATTCCACTATTACCTTCTTAAAGCCAAAATCCCAGGCCAGTTGTAACCCTTTAAATATGGCCCATTCCTCAGCCTGAGCAGCAGAACATATTCCAATATCTTGAGTAAAACCAGATATCCAGTCACCCTTAGAGTCTCGAATCAGGCCTCCATAGACAGCTTTGTAGCTGTTCTTTGAGCTCGCGCCATCCACATTAATTTTAACCCATTCCGTTGGAGGGGTTTTCCATACAACCGGTGCCTTAAAGTTTTGTTGCTCTAAGCAGTTCAGTCCCTCAGGGGATACAAAGTTCTTCCACAAAGCCCTTATAATCCGTTCTCGGCAATTGGGCTTCTCAAAATGATCATAAAAAACATTTTGATTTCTCCATGACCATAGTTTCCCTATAGCGACCCCCCATGTCAAATTCCATGCTGTTCCCAACTTACTAACAGCATGATTCCTTAGGTTTAGCTTATCCATTCTGTCAAGTGATAAGAAAAGAAATGAGCTGCGACGTTTGAATCTAAGAGATCATATCATACTCTTTTAGCATAGCTGCAATCTCTGAGGATGCGTAAGATACCCTCGTTGGCAGAAGTGCAGTAAGTACACAAGGGAGAGATTTGTGACCATTGACTTCTCCAGACATTGGTAGGAAGAGTATATATTTCTACGTGACTAGTGAAAGTATAGACCACCAGAAAGATTAATACTTTCTAGCTGTTTTTTTTTTTGACCAGCAATACTTTCTAGCTGCTTATACTTTCACTATTCACATAAAAATATATACTTTCATTAACTTTAAAAGTGCATAATTTTTTTAATATCTTCCAAATTTTGTAATTATATGGAGATTTGTATACATTTCAAAAATAAAATAAAAAATGCGTACAATTATAACAAAAGTTAATAACTATCTCTAAAATATTTTACTTTTTTTTTAGATTATATATGTATATTTTAATAAAAATAAATAAATAATCTATTTGTAGAAAACCTTAAAAAAATTAGTATAAGTTACTTGTTCTTTTCTCATCTTTCATTGGATTTAGAGGGTTTGAATAATCAGTCCCTACCAACGTCAGACGTCACCGTAACTATTTGGGTTAGTTTTAAATGGCCAAGGTATTTATTCACTTTTTTTCCTTTTAATTTTGTTCTGTCAAGAGATGCTTGAGTGGAGTCAAAGTCAAACATAGACGGTAAAAGAAAATTAGGTATTTTTCTGATCTTTAATATAATACCTATTTAACTAATTTGATTAGATTAAGGACGTAAGGTAAGTTAGTTAATTATAAAAAATATGATAAGTTTTTCCTAAAATACCATAATTATTTTTCTTAATACCCCTTTTACTCTTCTACTTGATTATGGTTGAGGAAGTATTTCTAGGGGTAATTTAACGAAAATTAATAAATATGATAAATGGGTCTTATATTTAGAATCAAAACTAACTCAATAATTAGATCCTATATTAAGAACCGGAAGAGTATTTAACTATTACGTGATTTGTGTCATTATCATCAATAGACTATTTTAAATATTCACGGTTGAAAATTAAACGCTTCGTCCCCCACCCCCTAATGGTTGATTCGGAAAGCTGCTTTGTTTGGCTAAAAATTGAATTTGGAGAAAGAACACAAGAAACAATGTACTAATTTCTTGGGTTAATAATAACTTTTGTTCAAATACTTAGAATAAAACTGATATGCAAATACTTAGCGCAGCAAGAATAATAAATATAATTATGAATTCAACATAAAAATGTATTAATAATAACTTTTGTTCAGTAAAAGGGTTATTGTATTAACATTTTTATTTTTACAATAAGAAAATTTCTTTTTCTAAAAAAATGAAATCACATTTTGCTAATGTTTTTTTTAGTGGTCTCAGACTGTGTATAACAGCGGGAGAAAGGGTAGTGATTTCAGAACCAATTTCTTGGGTATTTTAAAAGGTCTCAGCTTGCAAGAGTTGTAGAAAATATAGAAGATTTGACCATGCGTGATTAGACTGTAACCTCAATTTTAGTTTTGATTCATATAGGTAATCACTTTTGTTTGGGATGATGTTCTCATATCCCAAAAGTAATTGTTTACTAAGTCGAAATAAAATTTATTACATATTTCATATTTGTAAATTGAAAAATTGTTTTTAAAAGATTATGCTGCTATTCCAATCTTGTGCCTCACACGACTATTGTTTGTGAATTGTGATGATGGTTTAATACGGGGGGAAAAAACTGCAGGTAAGCCAGATTGCTAGAACCATCTCTCATAAAAAGCATCCGTAATCAATCCACAAGCGGTTAATTGGCTTTGTTTAAAAACTTTGTTCTAAAAAGTGATGAGTAAGAAAGGTAGTGAGAGAAGCGGTGTGCACGAGAGTTCGCCGATCAACTCTGGAGTTTCTCCAGATGAGGGAAAAGGACCGTCAAAAGAAGAAGAAGACATCCTCGGAAGGAATATCAAGAGAATGGATGGAGATACCATCATGGAGGATAGTGATAAAGGACTTAAAAAGAATCATTCTTTCACTTGCTCGTCCAAATCCTGGTCAAAAGCTTTCTCTTCCTGACCGGTGAGCTTTGCTTTATAGGAGACTTGGCTTCGCGTTTCTTTCTTCCTTGACTAAGGCTCCTGTGTTGCATTGTCCTGTTTTAACTGAAAAACAGAGGAAACTGTTTGAGAAACTCCCAAAGTTGAATATGCCAAATGACCGCTTAGAAGAATTGTGGAGGCCATGGAAGGATGCTCTAATCATCACCATACTGGGGAGGAAGACAAACCTCGATATGATGAGGGATCGAGTTTCTTGGCTGCTAAAATCAAGGAACTTCGAACTCATCGATCTACCAAATAGCTATTTTGTGTTCAGGACAGAGGAAAAAGCTCTATGCCGGAAGCTGCTTTTTGAGGGGCCGTGGTTTATCCAGGGACACTATCTGGCAGTGCAACGGTGGAGTCCAAATTTCAATCCATATTGCAATAAGGTGAAGCAACTTGCTGTATGGATTAGGGTCCCAACTCTCCCTATGCATTGTTACTCAGAAGAGTGTATGTTGAGCTGGGGAACTTAGTTGGTAAAGCCTTGAAAGTTGATATGAATACATTAGCCCATTGCAACGGTAAGAACACAATGGTGGAGAGAGGGAAGGTCGCCCGAGTCAGTGTGGAAATCGACTTGACCCTAGTCAAAGTTTGTTCTTCGGAAAACGATATATACGGTGGAATATGAGGGGCTAGAAATTATATGCTTCAGGTGCGGGATGTGTGGTCAGAACCAAGAAGCTTGTCCCCTTAATATGAGCACGCAGGAGAGGTCACTGGAGATCGCAACGTCGGCTGAACAGCACAGTACGCCAGTTGAGGAAAGAGTCGAGAAGCAATCACCGGTCAGTGTGCCAGGGGCAGCGTTGGAAGAGATGTACGGATCATGGATGCAAGCCAAAAAAACCCTTTAGGTAAAGACCAAAAGCTCATACGGGAAAAAAGCAACCACAGAGCCAATCGAAGGGAAGCAAGAACGGGATGAAAGAGAAAAAAGCAAAACCCGGCAGTAGATTTGACATATTCCAGGATTTATAGTATTTTCTTAATTTTATTTCCCCATATATTTTTTTTTATTTTTTGATTTATTTATTACATTGTTTACTTATTATTTTTATTAATAAAAGTATATTTAAGGAAAAAAATACGTGTCTTACCTATTTATTGTTCTAAACTAATTTTAACTACTTTCTTGATAAATATAAATAGATAAGATTTATCTTATAATTTGAACCGGAGGGAGTAATCAATACTCATTTGTTAATTTTATGTTTATAATTAATGATTAAATGTGATTGCTTATATTTTTCTCTCTCTTTTATAATTTTGTTTAGTACAAGTGAAATTACAAAAAAAAAAGAAGGAAAATTTAATGAATTAACTACAAAAATTCATTTAAAAATTATTAGTTTAAAATTTTAAACATAAATTATTGAAATTGTACTTAACCAATGGAGAGCTCATTGTAATCATAAGTATCCTGGTGGTCATTTATTACTATGGGACTTCTTAAACTATGCAACAATGAGTAATGTAAATGGAGAGAAAATATGTTGGCTTCTCTCTTGTATATTCCGCACTATACAATAAGTTTATTGGAGACCAATTGAGGCAAGTAGTCGTCAATTCTAAATACTGATGAAGTTTGAATGCCATCAAGTGTAAGCGAAAATAAGTGCAAAGACAAGTAGGAGGCCTTATTTCCTTTACAAATTTTTTTCTCCATTGGTATGTCATTTACAATGAGATCTTAAAGAAAAAATTTAATTATCGTAAAGTTTATTAACACATAAAGAGTATCTAATGACAATTCTAGAATAGAAAATGATAACATATTCATGCGTGCTCATCACTTATTATTGAGATTTCTTAGTAATTAAATCATTTTCTAGAAACCTCATGCTAATTCTTTTTTCTTTTGTTTTTTTTTTGCCTCCTAACTTTTCTTGGCACCCCATTCAAGGCTTCAAGCAGAGTTTCTTCGGTCTATTTGTCTTAAGTTATGGGATGACGACCTGTATTCCCAAGCCAAGTCAAGATAAAATTTTTTACAATTATAGTTTTTAGAATATTGGTTACGCCAAGTCTGCCTTTGATTTTTTTAATATAAAAAACGGATATAGTCTGAAAATAAAATTAAAACATAGGGGCCCGCCTCTGATTATAATGGGAGAAGAGGGATCAGACGTGTTGACCGTAGAGGTGGGAATACAGACTAGTCCGACCTTGTAAGGCTGAGATTTCAAAAATACCTCAATTTTTTAGGCTTGGCCCTTAAGCTAGCAGGCTCAGAATAGACTCGCGGGCTTTTGATCAGTTAAAAAAAAATACTATTTTTTTATATTTCTCACATTTTTTATCAAAAAAAGAAAAATAAAAACTAATAAATTATTAATAAAAGACATAAATATGAATAAAATTAAGTCAGAAATATAAAATATCATTATATAAAATATCATCAACATTTTAAAAACATTTAAAACATTCATTAACAAGAAAACAAAATCTAAAAGTTTCATCTATAGTACAAATGTGCAATAAAGAAATACTATCATTAGTTTTTGAAACTTCATCATCACTATAATCAATTATTCTTCTTCATAAGTATGCTTTTTTTTTGGTAACAAAAATGTCAAGTTTGTCTTTTTTTTTTATAGAAATTTCACTTTTAAATTTTACAGTCTAGCTATTATTTTACTTTAGTTTGAGAAACATATTGTTGAAACTCATAAATTTCTAATTCAAGTTATAAAATCACAAGTTATATAAGTATAAAAATACTCTCTATCAAATATATATAGTTAAAAAATATCAACACATAATATAAATCAAATCATTATTAAAGTCCAAATTACCCTTTTTTTTAAAAATTTAATTAGAAAAATTATTGTCTAAAACTAAATAAATCAAACCATTCTGTGAAGTTTAATTTTAAAATGATAATAATAACTAAATATTTGAAATATCATTCAAAATGTGAAAAATTAATAATATTAAAATTACACAATAAATTCTTAAAAAAAAATTATGAAAGGGCCTAAACGGGCCGGTCCTCGGCCTTGTAGGGCCAACTTCTTTAAGCCCTCGGCCCTACAAGGCCAACCTGTAGAGCCTATTTCTCGTTTTAGAAAAAAAAATTTCAAGCCCGACTCTCATAACTTTTGGGCCTAAACGGGTTAGCCCGATAGACTCGACTTGTTTTCTGACTCTAGTTGACCATGTGGTCCATCCTATTCCTTGGAAATATATGTAGTCCTAGTTTTTTTTTGACCAGCAATATGTGTAGTCCCAGTTACCCTATTAACAGGCAAGGAAGAATATAAGTTTGAACACCGCTTCATGGCCTCATGCTGGATGGGCTCGCACCTGGTCTTGGATAACTTGACTTTTAACTTTGAAAAATTGAACAGAGATGCCTCTAAAATATAACACACTTATTTAAACAGTTTATTTTGAATTTAAATTTAAAAAATTATTTACATTATTTTCTAAATTTATAATTTTTTTTACTAAATTATCTTTATCAATTATGCATATTGCATTTTTTTTTAAAGATAATCCCTTCAATACCAGGCAGGCGTGGTGGGCATTCATATTTGTTTATTTTATTTTTACAATTAATGCTTACATAATGTGACTCCTTATATTTTTCTGTCTCTTTTGTAATTTCATTTAGTACAAGTGAAATTGAAAAAAATAATTTAAAACAAATTTAATAAATTAACTAAAAAAATTCATTTAATCTTTTAATTGCCTTTTTTAAAGAAATTATTTAAAAATTATTACTTTAAAATTTTAAATATAAATGGTTGGAATTGTATTTAATTAATACAGATCTCACTGTAATCATAAGCATTATAGAGGTCATTATTGTGATTAGACTTCTAAAACTATGCAATAATAAGTAAATGGAGAGAGAATGTGTTGGCTTCTCTTATATATTCCATACTATGTAATAAGTTCATTGCAGACCAATTGAGACAAGTAGTCATCAATTCTAAGCATTGATGAAGTTTAAATGCTATCAAGTGGGAGAGAAAACGAGTGCAGGGACAAGTGGGGGGCCTTATTTCCTTCCCAATTGTTTTCTCCATTTGTATCTCTCTTAATTTTTTTGGGAGGATTACAATCAGATTCTAAAGAAGGAATTTAATTACCCTCAAGTTTATTAACAATTAAAGAGTATATAATGATAAGTTTTAGAATAGAAAATAACAATATATTTGTACTAGTTACTTATTATTGGGATTTTTTTGGTAATTAAATTATTTTCTTGAAAGCCTATGATAATTTTTTTTCCTCCTAACTTTCTTGACACCCAATTCAAGCAGAGTTTCTCTTCGGCCTCAGTCCTAAGTCAAGTCAAATAATAAATTTTTACAAGGGAAAATTATAATGAAGTTCCAAACAGAAAAACAATTAAAAAACAAGTCTTAAAAATTATCATTTTCACTATAAAACTTGTCATTACAAGCTGTTGAGTTGTTATTGGGATCTTTTAGTAATTATTTTTCTTTTCTGGGACTTGATTATAATTCCCTATTTTGCAATTATATTTTTTAGAATATTGCTTACAAATCTTACCCCACAGGTAAATCTTGCTAAGTCTGCCTTTGATTTTTTTTAAATAAAAAAGGCTAAAGTCTGAACATAAAATTAAAACATAGGGGCCCTCCTCTAATTAATGGGAGAAGAGGGATCACATGTGTTGACCTTGTGGTCCGTCCTATTCCTTTGAAAATATGCAGTCCCAATTACCCCATTAATAGGCAAGGACGAAGGAGGGATATAAGTATGAAAGTAAGAAAATTTTATTTCTTAGTATATTAAACATATGGTTTTAACTTTTTAGAAAAAATTAGAATAAGGTCATAAAAAATAATTACAAAATAAGTCTTATAATTTATTATTTTCAATTTTAAAAACTATTATTAAGTTATTATTGAGATTTTCTAGTAACTATTTTTTTGGAATCTTATTGTAATTTGTCTTTTTTTTTAAAATGTAATTTACATCCCTTCATGGCCTGATGCTGGCTGGGCCCACTCTTGGTCCTGAACGACTTTACTTTTGACTTTGAGAAGTTGAATGGTGCTGCCTCCGAGATATAACACACTTATTTAAATGGTTTGTTTTGATTTTAAAATTAAAAAACAATTTACTTTATTTTCTGAACTTATAATTTTTTAAATTATCTCTATTAATTATACATATTAAGAAAGTTTTTCTTCAATTATCTCCAATTTAAATAATTGAAGGGATATCTTAAAAAAAAAAAACCATCGCACATTTTGTTGTTGCAAATAGTTCATTTAATTAATTTTTTAAATCTTACATCATAGTATTTTGTAATAATTACCAAAGAAGAAAAAACCGGACCGGACTAGCCTGTTCAACTAGAAAACCAGTGAATTGGTCTGAGGTTCGGTCTGGTTTAGCCCAAAAACCGGCCCCCAATCAACCCGGAATGAACCGGACTAAACCGGAAAAACTGCTTGTAGACTGGGTTGGCCGGTTTTTTTTATACAAAACTGCTCTCACCGTTCGGCAGAGAAGGAATGGAGTTCTTATTTTCTGCCGGAAACCATGGACACTGCCAAAGACAGGCAGTAAGTAGTTAGTAGAAGCAGAGGAGATCATGGAGGCCGAGGAAAGAAATCCTTGTTTGTGTGGCTTTGAGGTATATCCGTAGAAGACAAGAAGGAGAAATATAAGAGAGAGTATAGGATGGATGAAAAAGTGTAGAGAAGAAAAATAGTACTGACCTTTCGCTATTTCTCCATTTCTCCATTCTATTTGAGGAAGAAATAGAAGTGATCGCTGAGGACAGCAGGAAGTTAATTTGAGAAAGAGGTGGAAGAACTGGTGATGCGTGCTCAAGGAGGCAAAAATATGTTGCTACAGTGCTACTACCCTAGTCTACTCTGCTTGTTCAATGTCTTATGAGAGAGACATTCATCGTGACGTGTGATATAAGGAGAAAAGTGGCATGGCACGTGGGAGAGAGAAGATAGAGAAAAGGAAAAGAAAAAAAAATAAAAAGAAAGTTTTTATATACATTAATATATTTTATAATTAGAATATCAATATTTTACTAATTTTGATTAAATTATATTATTTTAATTATTACCGGTCTAATTTTGAACCAGTATCTTGACCGATTTAATGTCCAGTCTGGTTTCTTATTCCTTGATAATTACATTTCTTTACCTCATAAAAATGCTCATCCCAAGAACGAAGCCATATACATAACTCCGTATAGATTTGACAACAAATTAAAAGCAAGATTTATGAGTAAGGAGCGAACGAGTGCAAGACTTATATATATTCCTAGTCACGTATGAATATATTAAAAAGGCCAACCAATAACGTGCCCACTGAATGATAGCGTAAGCGGGGTGAGTGATTATTACGTACTCAACAACGTTATATCATTTTATCAAGAAGAAAAACAACGTTATATCATTGATTTTCCTTAAGAGTGTTTCTGGTAGTTAAACGCATAAATTATATATGTTGTTTCCACAGTGCACGCGTCGGAATTTTACTACAAGGCCGCGTGGAAGTGGAAACACAGACACATTACTTGTTGGCATTCGATGAATTGCCGTGTCAAAATAACCAAACATATGGAAAAAAATGCAATATCCCTTATTTGAATCTTGTTGTTGACTTGTTGACTTTTGTGTCCTATAAAGATGTTGAGGTTATTGTTGTCCTAATAAGCCTTGCTTCGTCGCTCATCAACAATACTGAAAAATTGCATCTTAATTGCTTAAGAAGCTTTACTTTTTTCATTTATCATAGTTTTTAACTTACCCCAATAATGACGCTATTGTCAATATTCTTCTAGTTCTTCTATCATTCTTTTGCCATCTTCTCATTCTCACCGCCCAACAGGACCGACCTTATGTTAATCAAACCTGTTTCAATGACAAAGGAACCTACATAGACAAAAGTGCCTATCATACCATCCTCAAAACCCTTCTTTCCAATTTCACCTCCAACACAAAAGATCACTATGGCTTCTACAATTACTCTTACGGCCAAAACCCCACACAGTTTACGCATCTGGGCTCTGCAGAGGAGATCTTATGCCAGATGCTTGTCGTAGTTGCCTCAATAATGCTGCAAGTCTTCTCCCAGTGAAATGTCCAAATCAGAAGGAGGCATTTATATACCATGACTCGTGCAGCTTTCAATATTCAAGTAGCTCAATGTTTGGGATATATCAGGACCCTGATTTTTTCTACGCAATTAATAACCCAAGTGAGGTAGCAGATGCAGAGCGGTACACACGTGCGCTTGATCGGCTAATGCAAGTTCTTAAGACCAAAGCTGCAGCTGGCGGTCCTCATCGCAAGGTGGCTGCTGGAAACGCCTCAACGCCGTTTCACTATGTACATGATTTTGCTTAGTGCACGCCTGATTTGACTGAGCAAAATTGCGAGGCTTGCTTGGAAAAGGCGATATCAGATATCCCAATTTGCCATTTGAACAAGGTTGGAGGTAGGGTTATCAAACGAAACTGCAATCTCAGATTTGAGAAGAACCGGTTCTATAATCCTAATGCTGTTGATCCAATACAAGTGTCTGCATCTTCTCCTCCTCCTCCTTCCACTACTACTCCGTCACAAGGTATCTCTCAAAACTCAACCTTAATTATGTAAATCACTCAGAAAGGTTTAGACTTATACCGATCTTGTGATATGCTCTAATTGACAATTAAAAAACATTCGTTTGCAGAGATGCTTCTAGGGTAGTAATTTCTCTGACTTTGGCTTGCAAATAAAGAAAGAACCTTATTAAGTTATAAGGCAAAGAAAGAAAATTTACTTAAGGTTACTTCTAATACGTTTTACCTCTATTTAATAACTTAAACTCTCAAAATATAATAATTTTATAACTTTACCTCTATTTAATATATACCCAACCCAAAAAATACAAAATGTACACAATAATAAATGATTGGGTTTAGTGAAAGAGGCTAATTCTTCGCAACATGGCAAACCAATGTTCAAATCCTTGTTGGGAGAGGTATCCATGTCTAGTGCTCGACCTTGTTTTGAACAAGATTTACCTTTAATGGAAAGATATTCATGAGTAATAAAAAAATAAATGAAGGGTATAATTATATATTCAAACAAAAAAAATTAATAACATGACTCATATTAAAACAAAAACTTTCTTCTTCGCTTTATGCTCACCCTGTCTTTAATGTAAGACCTAATTGTAGGGTTAATTTTGGTCTTAAATGTAAGACCTTTTTTAATATTAATCAATTTTTTTTTTCAAATCACCCCTTTTGATCAATTTTTTTTTTTCAAATAACCGTTATTGATATTTCTTCAACTATAATCAAGTAGGAAAAGAAGAGAGGACATTAAAAAAGATGATTAGGATGTTTTAGAAAAAAAAACATGTCATATTTATTATGATTAAATTATTTAACTTTTCTACTCTAATCAAATTAGTTAAATAGGTCTTTTGTTATAAGCCAAAGAAGTAAACAGGAGTAGAGGAGTGATTGTTAATAATGTATAAATTTATCATGTGTCCTTAATTACATCATTCTATTATTGTTTGTGTAACAAACTGCAGGACCCGCCGGCTCACCTAACGTTCCGTCTACCAGAGAACGTACCTAGCTACTTCTGTCTCAGTGATGTGGCCTGATATATGTGCGTTGTTCTATTATTTGCAGGTTATCCAAAAAATAATCACAATTGTGAAAACTAGAGTCAGTAATTTTACCGTTGTGGTTGTCCGTTTATCTGGTCAGAAAACATATCAATAAACTTTTGAGCATGTTCAGCTTTTGCAGGAAAACACAATAGATCAAGAACCATTATTATTATCGTGGCCGTGGTGATTGGTGCCTTCATCGCCCTTCTCATCTTGATTTTCATTTATTTTGCAGTTAGGAAATCGAAGAAAACCATTGAAAGTAAGTTGAGACTTGAGAATATGAAGATACATAAAATAATATTTTTATTATGTAGTAATTTGTCAATGTCAACCTTTCAATTCATCGCCCTAGAATAGTTTTAAATATTAGGATATTCTTCAATACCTTTTAGAGCTTTTAGTAACATTTTCCCTCCCCTCTCCTGATAGGCATCCGCTCTAAATTTGGGGTAATTTAGAAGGAAATGATAATATTTTAGTTTGCGTTGACTAATGTGCTTATATTATTTTTTAATAATCCCATGTTACCCTTGACTACTGAATTGTGTGTGACTTGGTATATTTATGGATTCAATCATGCCTCTCTTCCCTCATTTATATGCTGTCAAATAAAAAAAAAAGTTGCTATCAAATATATTTTAATTTTGAAATGCAAATCAAGCATTCAAAACAAAAACATGCAAATAAGTATCTATGTCGTTTTTGAAAAAGTTATTTGACTATTTGCATTAACAACGCAGAGAAAAATGAAAGAGAGAAAAAACATACTCAAATTAAACATATTTACTTTATTAGACCAGATTTTGGATATAAACACGACTATAGTTATTAGATATATAGTAGCTATTAATTATGTATTATCATTATATTTATTTAATTCTGCTAATTATAAAAAGTTGGTCTCATATATTAAATATTATTTATAATTATATCTTATTAATTAGTCTATAAAGTTTGTAAAAGTCAACTTAAATAATATAAGGGCAAAGTTGTCCATACAAAAATATTTTGCCTCCCCTCCCTTCCTAAACCAAATAAAGTAACATTAAAATTCCTGCCCTCCTCTCCTCTCGTATTAATTTAAACAAGGTAATATTAAAATCTCTTTCTTTTCTTTCATCTTATTTCCCTCCACTAAAATCCCTCTTCTCCCATTTTCTCTGTTGAGCCAAACATACTCTTAGGATGATAGGGAACTAAAGAAGTCAATCTGCAATGGTCAGTAATACCCATTAATAGATTGTTGAACCAAAAAAATAGGTACTTTTTGTCCACCTTTTAATATTCTTTATCTCGAGTTTGATGAATAAATTATAACATTTATGACTTGTTAAATAGTGCGTTGTGATGTTGATGACTGGTGCTGCAGTAAGAAAGAGTCATAGAAATGTTGTATTTTGGCATCAGAAAATGTCAAAATGTGGCTCTAATAAGAAAAAACCATTTACGCGTGACAAATTTCAAAGACGATAAAGCTACCTTTGAAATTTACCCATAATTAAGTCAAGTCAACTCTGGGGATGAGTATTTTACAACAAAAACCTCACAGAGCGAAACGAAATAAGAAATGTACGAACAGAGCTGAAGGCTTTAGACTTTAAACCTTCCTTGAATGCTATAATACCCGGACCAAGTTCAATGGCCGGAGCTCATTTAGCATTGCTTCAATTTCTCTGTGTACTTATCACTCAATTATCACATGGAGCCAGCAGCCGACCAGAATTTCGGGATTATTATTGCAGCAACAGCAGCAACACATCAAAGAGCACCTACCGGAACAACCTCAATACCCTTTTATCAAATCTCGCTTCCGACAAACAAATAGATTATGGCTTCTACAATCTCTCTTATGGTAGTTACCCAAATACAATATATGCTGTTGGGTTATGCAGGGGAGATGTTATGCCAGACTTTTGCCCCAGCTGCCTCAAAAATTCATCAGTCCTGCTGCCACAACTATGTCCAAATCAGAAGCAAGCTTTTGGGATGTACGATGAGTGCATGTTATCTTACTCAAACACTTCCATATTAGGCAATCGGGTGGATCCTATTGTTACAGTCTACATGTGGAACACAAACTTTGCAAAAAGTTGAAATCAGTCTAATCAGGTCCTTACTGGTTTGCTGCAAAATCTAAGAAGCAGAGCTGCCTCTGGTGACTCCAGTCTAAAGTTCGCTGCAGGAAATGAAGAAGGACCTGACCTTCAAAATATATATGCTGTTGTTTAGTGCACACCTAATCTGAACGAGTCAGAATGCAATGACTGCTTGCTTTGGGCCATCTCATAGATTCCACGTTGCTATAATCACAGGCCGGGTGGTAGGGTTATTAGACCCATTTGTAACTTTAGATATGAAAGTAGCCGCTTCTATGCAATTACAGCTGATGTACCCTTATCGGCTCCGTCGCCGCTACCGTCTCCCCCTCCCCCTCCTCTGCTTACACCTCCATCACTTCCATCGACCAACACAACATCTTCATCACCTCCTCCATATGCAGATACAATATCCTCAGAAGGTACTTTCATTAGCAGTTAAGCCCCCAAAACTTCCCCTTTGTTGAGATTTCACATTCCAGCTGGGAGGAATGGGTGGTTTTTAGCAGATAAGTAAGGATTCAAAATCAACATTCTTTCTTATTATCTCTCTTAATGAAGGGGCATTTTATTTTTCCAGGAAAGAAATCACAAACTATCATTGCCATTATTGTGTCAATTTCTGCATTTGTTGTGCTGCTTATCTGTGTTTGGATTTGTGTAAGAGTGAGAAACCAAGGAAGAAAATTACCAAGTAAGTACACGTTGATATATTGCTAACAGCTTGACAATGTTGAGTGAAGTCAAAATTTATTAAATTTCTTGTGGCTTTTTCAAGGCCTTTGTTCGGTAGAACTTACATCCTTGATTAAACACCATCTAAGGTAATCGCTTATAAACATATTTTGCCTAGGTGAGATTGACGCTGATGATTCAATTGACGTCACTGAGTCAATACAGTTCGAATTTGACACCATCAAAGTTGCTACAAATAACTTCTCCGGTCAAAACAAGCTTGGACAAGGAGGATTTGGACCAGTTTACAAGGTAGATAGATATAACACTCAGTATTATGAACATAGCACCCCGGGTCAAATTTTGATACTTGTTGTCCAACTTTCAGAGCAAGCTCTCCAGCGGAAAAGAGGTTGCCGTGAAAAGGTTGTCTATGGATTCTGGGCAAGGGGACATTGAATTTAAGAATGAAGTACAAGTAATGGTCAAGCTTCAACACCGAAATTTGGTTAGACTCCTCGGTTTTTGTTTGAAAGAAAAGGAACGCCTTCTAGTATATGAGCTTCTTCCTAATAGAAGTCTTGATTACTTTAGACATTCTATTTCTACATGAAAATGAAATTCATTACCCTTTGTTGCAAGAATAAATGAGCAAATACCCTGACTCTGCTTTATATGATTATATCTTGGATTCGGATATAGATTTGATTAGATGTGCACAATTGAGATGGGAAACATGCTATAAAATTATAGCAGGAATTGCCTGAGGCCTTCTTTACCTTCATGAAGAATGTCAACAATGAATTATTTATCGTGACCTTAAAACAAGTAATATTCTCTTAACTACAGAGATGAATCCTAAGATATTAGATTTTGGCATGACAAGACTAGTTATTATTAATCAAACCCAAGCCAATACAAATAGAGTTGTGGGGACCTAGTAAGTATCAAAACATGTCATATTTAATTAGTTTCTAATTCTCCTAGACCAAGCAAAAGAAAAACTTGAATATGATAGTCAAGAGAAATGTTACATATTGTATTTGATTACTTTGACATGTTGTGGGTATATGGCACCAGGGTATGCAAGGCATGGAAGATTCTCAACAAAGTCCAATGTTTTTAGTTTTGGTGTACTAATTCTAGAGATTGTGAGTGGCCAGAAGAATGGTGACATTCATAACATGGAGAATGTAGAGCATCTACCAAGTTTGGTACATTTTAGCCTTTTCAGTGTTATTCCTCCTTAGCTTTGAAATTCTTAAGAGTTTAGGAAATTAATCTTCATTGGTCTGCATGAAACATAGAAATTTCGAACTAATACTTGCCAAAATTGAGCAATTTGTTGCTGGCATGGAAAAGCTGGAGGAAAGGGATGGCCTCTAAGATTATAGCTCCTATGTTAAAAGGTGGTTCAAGAAATGAAATAATAAGATGCCTTCACATTGGTTTACTGTTTGTTCAAAAAAAAGTTGCTGACAGACCAACCTTGGCTTCTGTTATGGCCCATGCAGTGGACGAGAATCATGCAGCCTATGCAGGGGACGTGAGCTTGGACAAAAATGGAACCCAAGCCCATGCGATGACGCATCGCCGTAGTGCACGTGCTAAACGTGTACCTTGGAGGCTGAGAGAATAAAGAGGCTGTTACGTAAGAGAGAGAGGTGTGGATTATGTGCGAGTCATTCCCTCTTACACTTCTGCTCTGTAATCTTCTCCCTGGCCCTTAGTGGATATCCTTCTGACCTTTCTGTTATTTCCTAACGTTCCGACTGTGTAGAGATTTGTATCTTGTTGAGTAATTGTTCATACACTGTGAACGATTACAGCTATTTCAATATATATATCTTCCGTCAGATTCAATTCCATCCATGTATTTACAAGAGTCATAACATTTTGGTGCTCTCGTTGAGAGAAGATTACAATGGCGGAAGCAACTCAATTTAAAGATGTGCAATCGGACGTGAAGAACATGGGAGAGTACGTAAAGTTAATCTGAATGAGAAGATTGAGTGGCTGGATTTGAAAATGAACGAGCGATTTGAGCAGCTAGAGAATCACTCTAACACGAGGTTCGATCGCCTAGAGGCAGCCATAGAGGCATTAGCACGGGCCCCTGATGGCCAGTTTGAGCAAATGAATGAGATGATTGTTGGGTTGAGTAAGGACGCTGAAATGAATAACCGTAGCATTGAACGATTGAGCCAGTTGATGATGCCCGGGGGAGGGCATTCTAAACAGGGATCCTTAGGATACCATTCACCATATATATCCAAGCAAGTTAAGGTGGACTTCCCAAAATTTGACGGAACAGACCCCACAAATTGGATATTTCGGGCAAAGCAGTACTTCAATTACTATGAGACTCCAAACCATCACCGTCTGGTATTAGCTGCTATTAGCATGGAAGGAGATGTCATTCTGTGGTTTCAATTACAGCAGAAGTCCAAGGTGATCCACAACTAGACCTCTCTGACTCGGGCCCTTGAGGCAGAATATGGGTCGTCTCTGATGGAACAACCGAGGTCCAAACTGTTCAACTTAATGCAGACCGGGACCATTGAAGAATATTGTAGGCAGTTCATGGCATTAGCCAATCGGACTGAAGGGTTGTCAGAAGGGGCCTTGATCGATTGTTTCACGAGCGGGTTGAAACCCGAAATAAGGAGGGAAGTCATTTCACACCATCCCCATACCTTAATGAAGGTAGTCGAGCTTGCTAAGCTCTATCACATTGAAGAAGGCAGTACAGGGACAATGAGGAATAGGAGCGTTCAGTTCGTTGGAGGAGTGGGTTCCTGACCATCTGGGGCAAATGCAACCCCTTACAGTGCAGTGAAAAACCCCTTGCCTCCATTGTTACCCATGCCCAACCTGAAACCAAGTCCACAGGTGAAGAAAATGATTCCCGCTGAAATGATGCTCAGACGAGAGAAAGGTTTGTGCTATACATGTGATGCGAAATTCTCTCCGAGGCACCGATGTCCGAATAAACAATATATGCTCATTGAATGTGATGACCCTGAGGAGGAAAAAGGTTCGAGCGAGTTGACCATGACAGACAGCTCAAAATCGGAATTGGATGGAGAAGGGTGCTCAATTCATCATCTGTCTCTTCACGCCTATCACAGCTCTTCGTGCAAGGCGACTATACGATTTGTGGGTCTTATCGGGGGAGCTGAGGTCCAAATTCTCTTGGATGGGGGAAGCTCAAACAGTTTTATACACCCAAGGATTGCACAGCATCTCCAATTACCAGTTGAGGAGGCCAGAAATGTGAAGGTAATGGTCGGGGATGGGAACGCGATGAAAGGCGAGGGCATCATTCGAAATCTAGTAGTGCAAATTCAAAGACATACCTTGGAGTTCCCTGCTTATGTTTTGGCAATAGCGGGGTCAGATCTGGTGATAGGAGCATCTTGGTTGGCTACGTTAGGACCTCACATCGCAAATTATGAAGTGGGGGGGATCTTATATTAAATTCCTTATGAACGAGGAATTCATCACATTGCGGGGAACAAATGGAGCAATGGTGACACGAGCTGCCTACCACCACTTACAGCACATGGTGCAGACTGATGCAATATTAGAATGCTTTGTGTTGCAAGTAAGCGAAGTAGTGAATGAACTTGAACAGAGCACCACCGAAACAGAGGAACCTCTTCCGACAGACATGCAAACATTGCTCCACATATATGGCTATGTCTTTGACAAGCCATGTGGGTTGCCTCCACCGCGGAACCATGAACATCGGCTCGTCTTAACAGAAGGAACAGGACCGGTGAAAGTGAGACCATACAGGTACCTGTTTAGTCAGAAAAGTGAGATTGAGAAAATGGTGGTAGAATTACTAGATGATGGGTTGATTTAGCCAAGCACTAGCCCATTTTCTACTCCAGTACTTCTAGTGAAAAAGAAGGACGGCACATGGCGGTTCTGTGTATACTATAGAGCGTTGAATGCTGTCACTGTAATAAAGGACTCCTTCCCTATGCCTACGGTGGACGAGTTACTGGATGAATTAGGAGGTTCTGAATTCTATACTAAGTTAGATTTGCGTTCAGGATATCACCAGATCCTAATGCACCCTGAGGACCATGAGAAGACAGCGTTCTGAACCCATCAAGGATTATATGAGTGGCTCGTCATGCCCTTTGGACTTTCGAATGCTCCGGCCACTTTTCAATCTTTGATAAACTCAGTCTTTAGACCATTCCTGTGACAGTTTTGTTAGAAACAATCTCACCCAAGAGGGGGGTGAATTGGGTGAGTTACAAAAATTTACAATCAAAAGGGTGTAAGTAATGAATAAAAACAGAGAGTCAGAGTATGGAGAATTTTAACCGCAGAGAGGAGACACAAGATTTATACTGGTTCGGTCTAAACCACGTGACCTACTTCCAGTCCCCAGAACACCTCTGGGTATTTCACTATCTTCCAAGATCGACAGGGCTCTTGGTGCCTCGGTACAGTAATTGAATCGCTCAATCACTCCCCCTTACTCCCGTAAGGATACAACCCCTCTCAAGAGTCCACACTCTTGAGTGTCACTCAAGTTTTAATAAAAGTAGTAATTGGCTCTCTTACAGAGTGAATTTAATGATAAACACTGATGCTCGGTAGTAACGTGAAAACAGAGTATTGAATGCGTAACTAAATGATCGCAGTTGGTAGTTCCGATATTCAATCTCTTCATTAATGCTTCTTCGCGCCTTTTATAGTTGATATCGTTAAGTAGCCGTTAGACGGAAGAGCTTCTAGCCGTTGTGACTTCGTTTGCGTGTTTCGCTGGTTTCAACGGCTCCGCCATTAATGCGTCTGAGCTTCTGACACTGTAGGTCGCAGTCTACTTAATCCCGTTGAAGAGCCGTTGCACTCGTTTTCATTAATCTGCATATTTTAAGCTTTGAACAAATGAGAGTTTTGTGGTGAGTGCTTTAATCTTGAACATAGAAAGAAAGCTAATTTATCATTCAAAGATTTGTGACGAAATCATTTATCAGTAAGAAGAACAGAAAGTCATTCTGGTTTAGTTTGATCGAAAAGATGATCGATTACTTGATGATAGATCAAGTTATCGATAAACAGAATGAAGACTTTTCGAATTAGATCACCAAAATTATCGATCAAGTGTTGGATCATTGACTCTAAGAATTATCATAGAAAGAGGGGATCGTTCCATGATCGAACAAGTGATCGAACACATGTTTGTTAGAACAGATTATCGATAATTCAAATGTTATTGAAATGAAGCTTCAGTCATTGATGATCGAACATCTTATCGATAAATGTATGATGGATAATGTTATCGATAAAACATAGTTATGTATATATTCAATGAAAGACACAGGCTATCTGAAATGATCGAACAGTTGATCGATCAATGATCATTCGAACAAGTGATCGATAAAGTGAAGAAAGAAGTTTATTCCTGTAAGGTAAAGGAAATGATTATCGATCACGTTTTGTGAAAACATGAATTCCGGGGAATTGAATGATCGATCATATTATCGAAAAACCAGTGATCGATTACTTGATCGAAAAATAGTTCACCATAACTTAATGCGAATAATCAATCCTTAGACTCTTTATCGATCACGTTATGTGAAAACTTATTTAAGCAAACAAGTTAAACTTATCGATAATGTTATCGATAATTTAGTTGTAGCAAAACTGAGTAAGAGTAGATAAGGACATTGATTATCGATCATGTGATCGATAATTTTATGATCAATAAGGTTATCGATCCATCAGTGAATTTGATCACCTGCATTCAGAGAGTTAGAGCATAAAGTTCGAACACGTAATCGATAAACAAATGATCGGAAATATGATCGATAAATTTGTAACAGAACTAATGTGCAGAACAAGTAGATTGTGTTACCTTTTATCGAAGTCGTTATTGATGACTGATTTATCGATAACTTGATCGATAAATACACTTCAGATTTGGGTCTCTTATCAGTAACTCGATTGTTTACCTGATATTATCGATCAGCTTATCGATAATTTACCATACTCTTATGTGATTTTTACGTTAGCGATTATCGATCACTTTATCGATAAATTACTC